TTATTAATGTTTATTTATAAAGTATTCATTTTAATTTTTTTTTTTGTTTATTTATGTTTATTTATTTGGATGTGTATTACTTTGTTTATATTTATTTGATTTATTTCCATTGTATTTATTATTTTATTTGTTTTTAATGTTTATTTATTTGATTTATTTGCAATGTATTTATCATTTTATTGATTTTGTTTCTATTTATGTTTTTGTTTTTTTCAGTGTATTTATATTTTTATTTACTTATTTATTTTCAATGTATTTATGCTTTCATTTATTTGTATTTATTGTTTATTTTAATGTATTTGTATTTTTGTTTATTTTATTTTTTAACATATATTTATTTACTTGTTGTTTATATTTATTTGATGCATTTTCAATGAATTTATAATTTAGTTGTGTTTATTTGGAAAGTTTATGTTCAATGTATTTATTTTTTATTGGTTTATTTTAATGCATTATTTATTTTTTATTGATTTATATTTATAAATATGTATACTATTTTTAATGTATTTATATTTGTATGTATTATGGAATTTTATGCATTTATTTAATATGTATATATATATATATATATATTACTTTTTTTTATTGTGGTGTGAAATATTATATTCTTGACAGGCATGTATTTATTTTACTCCTATATTATAGGCTATATTACTCCTATTTTATTTAATCTTGTTCTTAATTACTTCCGGAGCATCCACTGCTTCATAGTTTTCACAGTAATGAGTGTGTATGAGTGTGCTTGTGGGCCTGTACCCGTGTTGTTGTCGTTGACGGGACACTGACTCCAGGGCAGCGGCTCCTCGAACGAGTGGAAGAAGTACCACAGAACCCAGGCCAGAATCGTGTTATAGAACAAGCCCACGAGGAAGGAGAGGATCATCGACGCCACACCTGCCGTTTACACTCTCATAACTCAATCGTGCCTTTATGAACTCATAAAGCGTTTAAGACACAGTGACACTCTCAAGAAGACATTAAACATTTGCTCATGGAAAATCACAGACTGTGAAAAAAAGAACATAGACGATCAGAAGTGTGCATTAATCAAAGTCCCCCTGTAGTCAATCATCGTATCCCTTAAAACTCATCTTTGAATGATCACCAAAATTACATATTTAGACATTTTTCTTAAATTCTTAAAGGTCCCGAATTAATGCCTCTTTTCACATGATGTAAAATAAATCTCTGATGTCCCCAGAATGTGTATGTGAAATTTCAGCTAAAAATACCCAACAGATCATTTTTTTTACAGCATCATTTTTGGGCCTCAGAAAAACGCGCTGTGTGAGTGTGTGCCCTTTAAATGCAAATGAGCTGCTGTTGCCGGCACAGGGGGCGGAGCTTCACGAGCTCGCGCTCAGTCTCTCAGGACAATTTTACCTCAGGAATGACGATAATATCAGAAACTCTCAGTAACGGCGTTCATTTCCAGTCGGACAATAATGCCAACAGAGTCAGAGTGCTGTATAGAGATGGAACAGGTATAGTTTACTAGTTTAATTACGGTTATTATCAGGAATTGGTCATCTGACTGCTTGTATGTATTGTTTATTAATAGCCTACAAGTCTCCTGTTTCGGACCAGCTCCGAATGATGATCAAACATATACTGATGAGTTTAATTAAGTTTATTGTACATCACACAAAAGATGAAGCGTCAGTTTTACTTAAGAAAATCACCGTAAGAGCTGAGTAAGTTATATTGAGGAAGTTGACGGAGCATTCCTGTGGGCGGACCGGACGTTAGTCAAAAAACTGTTAAACTGACGTCAATAAAGAAGGAAGTAGAGGGATGTAGTCCAAACAGGCCGTTCGATGTAGGCTACTTCTGTTAAATAAAATATCTTGACATTGAACTTTGAGCTTTATAATTTTACAGATATTATTTATACTCTCACAACAACATTACACACTAACTAACGTTTGAAACATGGAATCACGAAGAACAGATTCAGATTAAAAATTCTTCATGCCTTAAAATAGCTTGAATCCAACTCTACAATGTAAAAAAATATATACTTTTTGTTGGTTTAACTTAAAGTAAGTTACCTGAAATTTTTGAGTTGGTACAACAAAGGATGTTGGTTTAATAAATAGAAACGTAAAATATCGTGCTATCTGAATCACATTAATGAACTAAGTTGATTTGACAAAAGATACATTTCCCAGTGCAGATGTTTCCCAGCTCACCCAGTCCGCCCAGTAGAGGAGAGATGGAGTGCCAGACGCCGATGCTGCCCTTCCTCAGACTCTGTCCGATCGCCAGCTCCAGATACAGCAGAGGGAGACCCTCGAACACCAGCGCGATCAGGTACGGGATCAGGAACGCACCTCACACACACACACACACACACAACCTTCAGATGTGGGCCCTTTTCTCCTCCTGTTGTCTGATAAATCTGCACGAGTGCTTATGTAGAACACTGATTAACTCGGTACAGTCTTACATTTAACATTCTTCGTTAAAAAATCGTTTTTGCTTCCTCAAAGAACCTTTTCTATAGTGTGAAGGACATTTTAATAATCTAACAACTATGTCGAGCCTCCCTCGCAATGGAAAAAAAATCATCATTATTATGATCTATTTTATTATTTTCAGGAAGGAAAGGTAATTGCTTTCAACAACATTTTAAAGTGATTTTTCAACGCTTTACCGAATGGTTTCATTCATTAGTAACTGCATTCGTTAGCAGACCTTACAATAAAGCAAGACGACATTTAGCTATTAATCTTAATGTTAATTTCAGCTTGTACGAAGATAATTTTAATGTCAAGAGGATCTGTTTAGTAACATGAAGAAATGCTGTAGCCTAAATAAATACATTTCTCGTGTTGGTTAATGAGACCTTATCGTGAAGTCACGCACAACTTTTAAACAATTCTGAATTCTTCAATTTAATCTTTAATCAAGTCAAGCACAAACATCTAAACATTCTGAAATCAAGATGCATATACAGGTGAAACCCAAAAAATCTGAATATGCTGCAAAAGTTCATTGATTTCAGTAATTCAACTTAAAAGGTGAAACTAATATATTATACAGACTCATTACAAGCAAAGTTAGATATTTTTAAGCCTTAATCATCACAATTATAACAAATAAAGGCTTGAAATATCTCACTTTGCATGTAATGACTCTAGATAATATATTAGTTTCACCTTTTAAGTTGATTTACTGAAATAAATGCACGATATTCAGATTTTTCGACTTTCACCTGTACATTCGAAGCAAATTATTTCTTGATTATTGAAAAACTGATCAAAATGAAGTGAGTTTGTGCTTTAAAGAAGAACGAATCTCTGCCAATCTGGTAAAAATAATCTTAATTCAAAAGGAAAACAAGATTATGATTTTTCTCAGTCAATTTTTTTGCTTCTAATGTAAATGTGTCTCGATTCCAGAATGTTTTTATATACTAACATTGTTTTTTATCTGTCAAAACAAACAGGAGATGGACGTCGGCTATAGAAGTGAATCTAAAAGCATTATTCTGGTGTATCCTCATGAGATCGGCAGTAAAGCACCTCCTCCGTAGATCTGGCAGAGGTACGGGAACCTCCACACGTTCCCGAGGCCCACGGCGAACCCCACGCAGGTCAGCAGGTACTGGACCTTGTTGTCCCATTTGGGCCGTTCCTGAGCGCTGGAGGCTTCGCTGGTGGTGTCCATCCTGACGGCGTGCGTGTGTGTGTGTGTGTGTGTCTGTGTGATGGGCTGTTATGTACAAACAGGAGGTGTGAGGATGCATTCGTTTCTAGCGGGTTTAATGTGTAACCGGAGCAGGAATGACGCTCACATCCATGTTTAACTGTGAAGCAAAGGTTTATAGGCCTCATTACGCTTTTATTTCATTCTGCTCAAAACAAAGTCCTTTCTAGAACTCGGGAAGCGCGGAAAAACACTTTATTTAAGGTGTTCCTGTTACAGAGGGATTTGTGCTTACTCGGTTATTTTAAGCTGTAATGAACTGAGTAATATTAATTAACAACATGTACTTACTAAAGGACTAGTTGCATGTAATTATGCTTAAAGGAGTAGTTCACTTTTGTAAAAACTTTTGCTGATAATTTACTCGCCCCCGTGTCATCCAAGATGTCCATGTCTTTCTTTCCTCAGCCGAAAAGAAATTAAGGTTTTTGATGAAAACATTCCAGGATTTTTCTCCATATAATGGACTTCAATGGGGACCAAACGGTTCAAGGTCCAAAAGACAGTTAATAACAGTTTCAGATGCAGCTTCAAATGTCTTTAAACGACACCAGACGATGAATAAGGGTCTTATCATGTGAAACGATCGCTTATTTCAAAGCTTATTCCAAAAATTTAACTTTTCTAAGGACAAATGCTAGCCTTGCTCTATTCTGTGAGGCGCGTTTGCAACGTCACGTAATACGTAATTACGTTCAAAAGGTCACGGGCGACGTAGCCGGAAGTACAGAATCAAAATCGTCCGACATCGTTGTTTTACCTTTTAATTCCTTTTTTGTAAACGGCGTTTGAGTTAGTTTGCATGTCAACCTATGCGTTCAACTTGTAAACACTCTGACTCTGTACTTCCGGCTACGTCGCCCGTGACCTTTTGAACGTAATTACGTATTACGTGACGTTACAAACGCGCCTCACAGAATAGAGCAAGGCTAGCATTTGTCCTTAGAAAAGTTAAATTTTTGGAATAAGTTTTGAAATAAGCGATCGTTTCGCATGATAAGACCCTTATTCATCGTCTGGTGTCGTTTAAAGACATTTGAAGCTGCACTGAAACTGTTATTAACTGTCTTTTGGACCTTGGACCGTTTGGTCCCCATTGAAGTCCATTATATGGAGAAAAATCCTGGAATGTTTTCATCAAAAACCTTAATTTCTTTTCGACTGAAGAAAGAAAGACATGGACATCTTGGATGACACGGGGGCGAGGAAATTATCAGCAAAAGTTTTTTCAAAAGTGAACTACTCCTTTAAATTAACTTGTGTGTGATCATCGTTACACAGACGCTCAGTTCCCAGAGGCCGACGGGGTCAATCATAGGGAACGCATGAGGCCGCAGAGGAGCGACTGGCCAACCCATCACAAACACATCGCTTGAGCTCGACTGGTTGCTAGGGTACTCTGGCTGGTTGCTAGGCGATCAGCTGCTCATGACATCATCTGTTGTGTTGATGGCGAGTGACTGATAAGAGTTTGTTTATCTCTATAGCTCAGTAACATCTGTGCCGGACTGAAGGAGACTCCACACTCACGAGATGACAATAAGGATGAGTTTATTTCCACACACACACACACTCTCACTCTCACACACGCACACACACAGTTTAAATTGCAGGGAAACTCGTGCATGGACTCTCAGTCTCCAGCTGGTGGCGCTGTGAGCTCACACTGATAGAGCCGGTCCTGAACTCTCACTCTCTCTCTCTCTCACACACACACACACAGACGGTCTTGAACTCTAGCTCATCTCATGTTCTCCACTGAGAGTGTGTGTGTACTTTTAGTTTATCATAGGTTTAAATAAAGCAAAATAAACAAATTAGTTCAACCAGTGTTTGTAGAGTAAGTGTTTTACTGTAGAGTTTACATGAACCTTCCCAGATTTACAGTAAACTGATATTCCTGCCGTCGGGAAGCTCTCGTTGTCTTCCTGATCGCACTGCTGACCGGCTGTAAAGTCATAACGCCGTAAGCTCAACACTGACACATCAACCAATAAAATATAAAGTCTCTATTAGAAACAAAGAGAACACAACATTTCAGATAAATCTGATAGATATTAATTTAACAATGAAAGATAAGAGCTATAATCGTAAGGACAGAGTGTTCTGTAAGTGAAGGAAATTATATGATACAACAATCTGCTACTGTACAGGATCTGTTTCGATCCACATTATTATTATGGCAGACAAACTTATGACAGACTAGCCTTATGAGATAAAAGTTAAAATTGCAACTTTCTATGTCATAATAATACAAATTTTAATGGCATGATTAGGACTTTTTGAGTAATAATCCCAAATAAATAGGATCAAAACATCTAACAACTCGTATAGCGTAGCAACAACTAGCCAAGGACAACATGCTTGCCTTGTTAAAACATGTTAGCATTATGCTAATTAATGTTTGCAATATGTTAAAACATGCTAGCAATATTTTAATTTATGTTAGAAATGTTCTAGTAACATGCTAACTCATGTTAGCAGAATGTTAAAACATGTTAACAATGTACTCACCCGTTAGCAATGTTAAATCATGCAAGCAAAATGTGTGACATTGTGATAAATCAGGTTAGCTGTGTGTTAATTAGCTAAATGTTAAAACGTTTTAACAATGTGATAAACTTGTTGCACATATTAGCAATTTACTTCATATTAGCAGCATAAAACACGTTAGCAATGTGCTAATTCATGTTAGCAATCTGTTAATTCATGCTAACAGCGTGCTAAGTCATTCTAGCATTATGCTAATTCATACTAGGAACTTGTTAGCAACATGCTAAAACACCCTAGCAATCTGTCTATTTGTTTAAGCTTTAAAACTAACTTCAAACTCGAAAATGTATAAGCTTCTTCGATTGTTTTGGTCAGGCTTTTTCAAACCAACAATGTCAGAATTTCTACTTTCCATCTCATCATGACTTTGAATGCCTTATAATTGTGATAGTTTTTAAATGTGTTTTTATAATGTTTCTACATTAGCATAATAGCAGTGCGTGGCTTCCGGATTCGTTCGCTTCCAGTTACTGAAAACAATCCCTTATGCTAGTCAACGATATTGCAGCAACTGTATGAGTTATCAAATTAAATTAATTTACTTTCGTAATCATAAACGCACTGGTTTGTAGCGTAAATCGTTTTACCGTTTACTGCCCTTTGATATTGGCCTACCTTATCTGACCTGACCTCCCAGAGACCCAGTACATCAATCACATCGTTGGAAAATGATTATATACATGACAGGAGTGTAGGATACAAATTTAGGATTATTAATTGTCATATACACTTTATACATATTTATATTGCATTCTTCCTTTATGTGATTTTGTAAGTCTATAATATAATATGTTTATTTTTGCACGTTGATTGTTCCGAATGTTTCCCATAGAAATGAAGCTAATTAGCCTTGAAACTACGCTATTGTGTTGACACTTATTTCCTGTTTTTCAGAAACGACGCTCTCTCTCGTTCTCTTTCACTTCCTGCAGCGTCTCCACAGAACCAGGGCGATGGCGGCTCCGGGGATGCTCAGACTGGGGATCCCGGCCAGCACGAAGATGACGGCGCTGATCCAGTCCGGGTACTCCACCTCCTTCAGCGTGGGGAAGGTATCCTGCGTTCAGTCAGAGAGAGAGAGAGGGGGGAGAGAGAGGGAGAGAGAGATATGAGCTGTGGTTCTAGTATCTAAAGTCGATGTAAATTGTGTTTAACCCGTTTCACTTCTGTAATATGTGATGTAATAAGACTCAAACATATGGAAGCTCGTTCAGTTCACAATTCTCGCAATTTTCCTTGCAATTGTGAATTTATATCTCGAAATTCGTAGAAAAAAGTCGCAAGCTAAAAAATTCACAATCAATTTTTTTACTCGCAATTCCAAATTTACATCTCGCTATTGTAATTTTTTTTTTTTTTAAGTTAAAGTAGAAGCAATTAAAATAATAGAAGTAAAAAAAATAAAACTCTCAATTGCAAGTTGTAAAATCAGAATTGCGGCGGATTCTGGGGGGGGGGTGAGACACGCAATTACGTATGTTTAATTATTTTTTATTCCGTGCCAGAAACGAGTTCCCTTAGAAACGGGATAGTCAACATGGATATTGGTTTTATCCACTGGAAGTTGATTTATACCCAAAAAGTTTTTTTTATTAAGAACAACGAGCAACGATTATCGTTCACAGTAAAGGCACGGTTACGTTTACCGAGTCTGTGGATGAAATCCAGTCTTTCCACCAGGAGTATACGTGATCATGGAAGCTTGTTTACGCCACACGATAAAAATTAAAAAAGTAATTGCGACTTTTTATCTCTCAATTCTGGCTTTTTTTTCTCACAGTTGCAAGTTTACATCTCTCAGAATTGTGTGTTATAAATTAAAAAGGTCACAATTACCTTTTTTATTTTTTCCTTAGAATTGAACTTTATAAGTCGCAATCGAGAGATTATATCTCACAATTGTGAGAATTGCGAAATATAAACTTGCAATTGCAAGAAAAAAAGTCAGAATTGCGAGATAAAAAGTCGCAATTAACTAATGTTTTATTTTGTGGTGTGAACACGCTTCCATATTATTGGGAGTTTTGCATGACGACGGGAAAATATGTTAGCATTTCATATTTTGCTCATTTTCGCCCCATTAAAGCTTATATCCGCCTCGGGGAAAACACATGATAAAAGATCATTGAAACTTATAATCTCACAATTCTGACTCTGTTTATTTATACATAACAGTTCTGACTTCTTTTTCACATTTTTAAGAAAAGATGCAGTTGTAGGAAATAAACGTGAAATTTTAAGGGAATTGTGAGATAAAAAGTCGCAATTACCTTTCAATTTTTTTATCCCATGTGAAAACAAAACAAAAGCAGCCTAATTGTGATATGTTGAAATTGTGAGAACAAAAAGTAATAATTTTGAGCTCTAAACTCTTGTGAGAGCAAGTGTAAATTTGCCGTTTCGTGTCATGTTGTTATTTGCTTCCGCATCTGTGATGGGTGTAGCGGTGTGTGTGGTTCTCCTGAGGACGGGACGTACAGATTCGGGGTCCCACACGCTGTAGGTCAGCTGTTTGCTGACGGTCGTGACGAAGTAGAAGATCAGGATGACCAGGAGGATCATGGGACTGAGGAAGCGCCACGTCCCCTGCCAGAAGAGGTTGGGCTTGTGTCCCACCATGAACTCGATGTCTTCATTAAACCTGCAGATGAACAGCAGCATTAACGTTCTCCTCTTATGAATACAAAAGGTGATAAAAATGCAATTTGTATTCTTGCAAATATGGTATTGAATGAAAAGATTGCATGAACTGGAACTGGCCAAAAAAGTTAAAAAAAAATAAATTGTGAAATGAATTAGTAAAGTAAATAGCAAGTAGTAGTTAGATGCGTTTTGCAGCTTAGTGAATTGTAGTATATTATAAAACAATATGCAATAGTAACAACATTTTCAGTGTATACGATTATATGTTTTAAAATCATAAATGGATGCTGCTTTAGGAATGATATTACTACCCTCTCAACCCTTAATCTCAGTATTAAATACCCCTTTAAGCAGTTCTTTATATTAACTTTATTTGATATAAACGCCTCTTCGTTTGGAAGCTTGTTTCCACCACAGAATACAACATTTTAAAATATTATTGCAACATTTTATCTCACAATTGCGAGTTTAATATCTCACAATTTTCACTTTATATTGCCCAATTGCATGATATATGTGATATTGTGTTATAAAGTCATAATTGCGAGATATAAAATCGCTTGCAATTCTCAGGGAAAAAGTCGCAATTACCTTTTTTACTTTTTATTCAGTCATGGGAACAAGCTTCCATACATATCCCGTGGGAAAAGGGAGAAAAATTATTTGAGACAGGTTTCTTTTGTAGTTTCCTCTCGTCCAATCAGGCAATGGTGGGCGGAGTCAGTGCAGTTACTGTAAATGGCTTCTGGCAACATTGAAGAGCCATTTTTGGTTCTGCACCGTTCAGTGATCATTTCTTAACAGAACATTTTTTTTTCTTTACATTTTAATAAACCTAATAGCCTTTTTCCACTATATTGAACCTTTTGAAGAACGGAAAGATGCAAGGTTCTTCACGGAACCATTAATCCCAATATGGCACTTTTATTTTCAGCGTTTAATAATGTGCACTGGTGGAACATCTACTGTAGGAACATGTGGCTGTGCCGTTGACTCGACCTGTCGATGCCGTAGACGTAGACGACGGCGATGATCTCGCAGAAGGCGATCACCAGCAGGGGGATGGAGCCAGCGAAGCCGTCGAACAGGGCCAGCCAGTAGTTCCCCGAGGACTGGACGAACACCAGCGCCGTCACGAACGACACTGCACACGTCAGCCCTGCACACACGACATGATGAGCGACACTGCAGTGTTCAGGTTCACATTAGCCGTTTACATTACTGATAAAAAACCTCCTTCTCTCGCACTTTGTAACACATAATTTTGACCCCTGAAATTATACTTCATTTTTTTCTATATTTTCATGCAATTTCTGAGGAGAATTTTTTTAATTTTATATTTTATTTACCTCTAAATTACTAGATTTGATCAATAAATAATAATATATAAATAGTAATTTAGCACACTCCTCACATTCTTTCAACTTGAATTCAAAATAACTCATTCATGCATAACTCATAATTCAGCTCTAAATATCTCACATTGGGTGTCTTTGCCGACCTCTTGTGGAGAAATAATAATAACACATGATATTTCATGATTCTAGATGGCCTTATGGGTCATTAGACCTCCTTTTCCATTAGCCTTCAAACTGCGCAAGTGAGGTGGTGGCAAGTGAGGTCGAGGGGTTACCGGTGAACACTTCTTTGGGCCACTTCTTAGGGAGGATGTTGAGGTCCTGGAGCGGCACCACGACACCCTCGATGTTCCCGAACATGGTGGACAGTCCCAGACAGAAGAGCATGATGAAGAACAGCACGGACCAGATCGGAGAGACGGGCATCTTGGTGATGGCCTCGGTGAACACGATGAAGGCCAAGCCGGTTCCCTCGACGCCCTGCGGCAGATCACAGGACAGGGTTCGTACACGCGCCTCAATAACAGTGTTTTACATTTCAGTCCTGGAAAACCCTTGAAAACAGCCAGACGTGCTGGAAGGACTTGACTTATTGAAAGACATTATACACTACCAGTCAAAAAAAAATATATATATATATATTTAATATTTTTAAAAGAAAAAAAAATTGATTAAAAATTCAAAAAATAGAGTAAAAATTTGAAATATTATTCCAGTGTAAATCATCAGTTCTCTATGTGAATATCCAGTAAAGTGTAATTTATTCCTGTGATCAAAGCTGAATTTATCATCATTACTCCAGTCTTCAGTGTCACATGATCCTCCAGAAATCACTCTAATATGAGGATCTGATGATCAACACACATTTATGATTATGAGGAAGGTCTGGATGTCGTCACACACACACACACACACACACACACACACACACACACACACACACACACACACACACACACCTGACTGAGGAAGGTCTGGATGTCGCAGGTCTTGAGCTGGAGCTCCTGAATGACGGCTGGTGTCGTGTTGTTGAGATGCTGAAGAACGCTGTCATAGTTGCTCTCTGTGATGTTTCCCTCCGGCAGATCAAACGTGTTCATCAGTGCCAGGATGTTGCTGTCGGGAAAGTGCGCTTCTTTAACACTCAGATTATAATACGAGTTAAAGTTTGGGGTTGGTAAGATGGTCTCTCCTGCTCACTGAGGCTGCATTTATTTGATCAGAAATACAGTAAAAAAAAAAAGTGAAATATTATTCTAATGTAAATCTTCTGTTGTCTATGTGAATATCCAGTGAAGTGTCATTTATTCCTGTTTATTCTTCGGTGTCACATGATCCTCCAGAAATCACTCTAATATGAGGATCTGATGACTTTAACTCTTACTGACCCCAATCTTTGAGAGACTTGGTTAGTGAAGGACGCACCTCTGGAAACATTCATCATATTTCTCCGTGGCTCTGAAGCCGATGATGGAGTAAATGACGGTTGCAGAGTAAACCGATGTGAGACCGTTGATGATGGAAATGGTGACGGCGTCTTGCTCACAGTTATTACTGATGGAATAATATGATGAAATATACAGTCAAACCAATATATTCACACAGCTTCGACATTTTTCACATTATCAGTTTATTCGCTATATTTAGAAAGTGGTATTAAATATTAGCAGAATCTTAGTTTTTGATCACACTAGTAAAGAAATATAAAAAATTGTATCTATTGTCTGAATAGTTTCCCAAAAGCTCTTTCCTGAACTCCAGGGATGTGTGTTGTGTTTCACTCACTGCACAGAGTTGTAGCTGGAGAAGGAGATGAGTCCTCCGAACGCCAGAGAGAAGGAGAACAGCACCTGAGCTCCAGCGTCCAGCCACGTCGTGGGGTTTATCAGCTCATTCACCTGGAAACAGGTAAGCAGACCCAGGCTTGAGGGAGAGTAGACCGTGGCTAACTCCTCCTCCAATACAAGCGTGAGGTTTATCTGCTGAACGTACGTCTGGAGTGAAGAGGAACTTGATGCCGCTCACAGAGCCTTTAAGAGTCAGAGCTCTGATGAGGAAGATGGTCAGCACCAGGTACGGCAGCGTAGACGTCACGTACACAGCCTACAGAGACAAGTATGCAGTTTTTACAGCACTTCATAAATCGTTTCAAAGCAGATTTAGTGTTGATTCGATTCAGTGTCAATGTTGCAGTTCGTCAATTAAGAAACTAAATCAAAAGCAGCTCTACGGGAGTCAATCGACTCAGTAAAGTTCAAAGTTGATTCAGTTCAATATCTGGAACAAATTCAATTTCATCTGCAAAGCAGAAGACAATCGTGTCAATTCAGATTCAGTGTTGATTCAGTTCAATTCAATTACAGTGTCGAAACTATTGACTTCAATGGAACTGCTTTTGATTTAGTTTCATAATAGACTTTGAGACTGTAATTGAACTGAACTGAATCAACATTGAACTTTAATGAGTCGAATGACTATTGACTGAATCAACATTGAATCTGAACTGACACTATTGTCTCGTGCTTTGTAGATGAAATTTAATAACTGATGAAATTTGCAGCATTCACAGTTATTGAACTGAACTGAATCAACATTGAACTTTAGATTCGAATGACTCTGAGTTCTGTAGAGCTGTTTGATTTAGAGTCATTCGACCTAGTAAAGTTCAAAGTTGATTCAGTTCAATATCTGTCAATGCTGCGAACTTCATCAGTTATGGAACAAATTCAATTTCAGCTACAAAGCAGAAGACAATTGTGTCAATTCAGATTCAGTGTTGATTCAGTTCAATTCAATTACAGTGTCGAAACTATTGACTTCAGTGGAACTGCTTTTGATTTAGTTTCATAATAGACTTTGAGACTGTAATTGACCTGAACTGAATCAACATTGAACTTTAATGAGTCGAATGACTATTGACTGAATCAACATTGAATCTGAACTGACACTATTGTCTTGTGCTTTGTAGATGAAATTTAATAACTGATGAAATTTGCAGCATTCAACTGAATCAACATTGAACTTTAGATTCGAATGACTCTGAGTTCTGTAGAGCTGTTTGATTTAGAGTCATTCGACTCAGTAAAGTTCAAAGTTGATTCAGTTCAATATCGTTCAATGCTGCAAACTTCATCAGTTATGGAACAAATTCTATTTAGACTTTGAGACTGTAATTGAACTGAACTGAATCAACATTGAACTTTAATGAGTCACATGACTATTGACTGAATCAACATTGAATCTGAACTGACACTATTGTCTTGTGCTTTGTAGATGAAATTAAATTAGTTTAATAACTGATGAAATTTGCAGCATTCAACTGAATCGACATTGAACTTTAGATTCGAATGACTCTTGAGTTCTGTAGAGCTGCGTTTGATTTAGAGTCATTCGACTCAGTAAAGTTCAATGTTGATTCAGTTCAATAACTTTCAAAAAGTCTATTATGAAACAAAATCGAAAGCAGCTCTACAGAAGTCAATAGAGTCAGTATTCAGCTCAATTAAGTTCAAGTTTGGTCCTCATCTGATCGTTAAAGCAACAATAATGAACTTTTCCTCTACAGGTAGGAAGTGGAATTGTCCGTTACCGCTGTCGTCGCATGCGCGATCGCTTTTTATTCCAGCGCCGGCTTTGGAATAAAAAACGTCCACGTTTCATTAAAGTATGATGTGTTGCGACATCAGAAACAAAGAAAAACGAAATAATGACTATTGTAACGCTTGACGCAAAGCAAGTCAAATTTGTAGTTTTCTTATGTCTCGTTCGAACTACAGAAACGCGACCCGATCTGGCAAACTTGCATAGTGTGGTTATAGCAGATATGGGGATGCATAAATGTTACGGCTTGATGAACCACGGATACGATTTTGGAAACATTATTTTAAGGTAAAAAATGTGTTACTGAATATCGAGTGTGTTCACCTTCCCTGTGGTCTCGATGCCTCTGATACAGCAGATGTATAACACGATCCAGGCGCAGAACAGGCACAGCACCAGCCACCACTGCAGGCCGCCCGACTCCTGGATCGCCCTCGAGCTGTTCAGAGTCTCTCGGTACCAGAAGTAATCCACCGGAGAGCTGCGCGCGCACTCCGACTCCAGGCCTGCAGGGGGAGACACACACACACACACAGTGTTAGGAACGCTCGAAATTCAGTTCATTCTTCAGAGAATCTCCATGGCAGAGATGGTCTTACTATTATTTCTATTTCGCTTTATTTTTTTATTAAAATTATTTATTTTATGATGACATACTGTATATATCGTGGCGATTTTATAAAGTGTGGATCGATTGAACATTTTCTACGTCGTTCATTTATCGCTTTTAGTGTGCAGGAGTCATTAGAGTGATAAAGAAATGGACGAATGAGTAATAAAGAGCGGGTTAAAAAGAGTTATTAAAAGTGTAATATGACTCATATTCAGTATTCACATACTGACAGGCAGCTTTCTATGCGCGGCTAAACGGTCAAATACGTAAACAATATTCTCTTGGTTTATGTCTTAAGGCCTTTGCACACTGAGTCCAAAATTCGCGTCCGAAATTTTCGCAAAAAAATAAATACGAACTCACACTTGCACTTTCATCCGTCATTAAAAAATTATATTTTCTGCGTTTTTCGCATCCATCGCTTGCAGTTTGAATGGTGTTTTGACAATTCAGAGCCACCGAATCACGAATACGTAAAATCGCATACGAAAATTTCGGATTCAGTGTGCAAGGGCCTTAAGGTAAGGTTGGGAATATCGGATGTGTATCAGCATATTGGATCCGTCCACTGGTTCTTAAAGTGACAGCAGCCTAATGACTGTTTACTTGTCTTCAATAATTGTTATACAATATATTGTAACATTTTTTTTTGCTGACATATTTTTATGTAAGCAATAAGGTACGAGAGGCTGTGCTGTATCGGGAATAAGTAACGGCTAAATGGCGTTGTTGGGCTCGACGCGAGCGGAGTAACTCCTTCGGCCGTCACTTATTCACCATACAGCACTTGCCTCGAGTACCTTATTGCTTTTATGAAACGGTTACCACACAATAAAAATATTAAATAAAAAAAATATATATTAGTGCAACTTTCATGAAGTAAAATCACTAAAAGCCTTCCTTCCTATAGAAAAAATAGTCCCTGACCGTGAACAGCAACAACGCTCCAATGTGTGATATGCATGGAAGCTCAAATAAACACAACATAGGAACCGCAGTGTTGCGCAGTGATACATCGAACCGCTGGTTAAAGAGGTCATAGCTGCCTTTTATCATGGATAAAGCACAGCTATTGACCAATCAGAATCAAGGATTGGATTAACCGTTTTTTTTAGGGCTGCAACAACTAATCGATAAAATCGATTATAATCGATTATGAAAATCGTTGTCAACGAATGTCATTATCGATTAGTTGGTCTGATTACGTCACGGGGATTGTTTACATGGAACATGCGCTTATACATGCGCTTCATGAGGCACACACGCAGTCTCTCTCCCTCGCCGCTCTTCCCTGTCTCGCGCGCGCAACACTGACGGTTTGGAGCACATTATCTTCTGTCTCGCATGCGCGCTCTTGATTCCGTGAGTTTGAACTAATTTGCGGGCATCAGGAAACCGCTATCAATATGCAGCATACACGAAAATCATTCACCTTTCGGTAAATTCGCCGTTTTGAAACCAAAATAGGTGACCTACGTTAATCGTGTATACTTTATGAAGCCATACTATAGTATAATGTGAGATAGAAATGTATATTTAAGTCATTAAATTCAAGTTAACCTAAGCTTTTCCCTCCACTGCGGCTGTCAGTCATTCTCGGTGTTCAAACAGCCCGTCGCGTTACAACAGTTAACACATGATGATCTCTTTCCAAGATGATTCAATGTTATTATTATAATTGATCCGTAGATAAAGGTCTATGATGGTTTTTCTATCTTGCTAGACTTTTATTGCTGTAACTTAATCACTTTCTACTGAGTGTCTGTTAGATCACAACACTATAGAGTCGGCGCAGTATAATTGTTCTTCACGTGCACAGTAGCCTAACTGAAATTTAAAACTGTTAAAAGAAAAGTCTCAATAAACTATTGCATAGATACGGTGTAATACACAGTCAATATGTCTTTCTCTTTCCTTGGTGCTTAATGCGGCGGACACTGAAGAACTGCGCGCCGCCCTGTGACTCCGTGTTCATTCAGCGCTCGCGATGAGCATAAGCACTTTGTGCAGCTCTTTCATGATCATGTCATAATACTTTTGCGCAATGAAAGCTTATTAATAGCCTTTCTTGTTCTGTCCTATCTATTATATTTTGCTTCCTCACTAAACAGCTGTGCTTTACATTTAAAACAGTTGAACTTGTGCATCTGATTTTTACGATGTTTTTCATGAATGTATAACAACAATACAAAGAGCAATGTGTACGTTTTACCATTGTTAGTGCTACACTTATTGTCTCTTATTTGTTCCCCACTAAGGAATGTTTTTTTTTCACTAAATGTTCAGATTTTATAAAATTATTGTGCACTTGTGATATTTCTAGGCTAAGTTTTGCTGAGTTATCCACTAATCTAGTTTACAATAGCATTTTTGTCATAGGTTATGGTCATATATATATATTTTATTTGTTGTTTCTCTTTATAATGAAGTTGTCTGTATTAAGTAGATTGTTTAACACACAAAAGAGTGTGGTTTTTAGGGTTTTATTTTGTTATAATAAACAAAAAAATGGAATATAATTTTTTATCCGATTAATCGATTAATCGAAAAAATAATCGTCCGATTAATCGATTATCAAAATAATCGTTAGTTGCAGCCCTAGTTTTTTTAAAGAATTTTACAACACATTTAACACAAGAACATAACATACATGTAATAGAAACATAACTTAATCAAATCCCTCCCCCTCCAGTAACAATATTTTTTGCTGCAAGTATCAAAACTGGTATTGAGAAATTTCAACCTTATTTCCAGCACAAAGTACCTGTTCTGTTGGCATTAACGGGACAGTGACTCCACGGCAGGGGGTCTTGCATGGAGTTGAAGAAGTACCACATGACCCAGGCCATGATGGTGTTGTAGTACATGCCCACAATGAAGGAGGCCAACATGGAGGCGATGCCTGAGGAACCACACCAAAGAGATCTGAGAAACACTATTCTCTGAAAAGGCCTATATCATCTAAACTGGAAACTCAACAACACTCCTGCCGAGGATAACTGAGGATCCGCTTCACACTCACCGACGACATCACTTCCTGTCGGCCACCGTGACTTCTGTTGGGTGCAGTTCGCAACCTCACCACTAGGTGGCTCTAAAACTTACACACTGCACCTTAAACGGTGTCTTGCTTTCACACTCACCGACTCCAGTGAGATACGGGTTGATGGATCTCCAGACGCCGACGCTGCCCTTCCGCAGCCTCTGTCCGATGGCGAACTCCAGATGCAGGAGCGGGATTCCCTCCAGGACCAGCAGGATCAGGAACGGGATCATGAACGCTCCTGGAACAAAGGAAAAGTCACAGAATCAGACAATTAAAGGCCTAGTTCACTTCAGAATGACAATTTCCTGATGATTCCACGTCATCCGAGATGTTCATTTCTTCGTTTCTTCAGTCGAAAAGAAATTAAGGTTTTTGACGAAAACGAGCAACGTTTTTTTTTTTACTTATCCGCTGGTTTGTCTAGATCAGACTCTTATTCCTCGGCTAGATCGTGTCGAGACTTTGAAGCTGCTCTGAAACTCACATCTGGAACACTTTTTATCATTCGGATAAAAGTGTTTTCCAATTCCATAAACGTAAGTGTAGTTGAGAAAAACTCTTGAAAAAATTCATTTAAAAAATATTTTTTTCGGTTCAGCACTGTTGACATTTTAACCATAAAATACACGGGTCAAACTGACACTGATCAGGCGATAGAACTTATTGAAAGGATTTACATTCATGCATTTGGTAAATACTTTTATCCAAAGTGAGAATCCTCGAATGTAAGATTGTAAGATTAATTGTGACGGCGGTTTTAGTTTTTTCCTAAAAATAAGTGATTTTTGAAGTTTCTTCGGTGGATCCTCTCAGGTTATTGAATGACTATATTTAATCACTCCATTAACTATATTACTCATTGACTTAAATGACTCTTCTGTGGCCAGTTGCATGAACTGCTCAAGTCTTGTAATATATTAACATAAAATTGCAGATTTGTCTAATTTGAGACTTAAAAGTTAGATTTATTATCCATTGACTAATAGCTAGTTCTTAAGACACATCGGCACATAAGTGTCCCTGTTTAACCTGTTCACCATCAACCTAATGCTTTGCAATAGTGAACGCACTTGGAAAAAAATTAAAGTTTAAAAAGTTATGGAAGTTTAAGTTTATGTAAGGCATATGTACTAAACTAAACACTATATTTCATTCAGAATATATATTTTACTAAATATTTTGGCCTCTAAATTTGCCATAAAATAAATTCCTTGTGTTTAACCAAGCTGTGTACCAAATTTAAAGTTTATATCTCAAAAATTAAGATGTAAAGCAATATTGTTTACTGGAAAGCAAATGTACTGAACTGAATGTTTTTTATCCAAAGTATATTTTTACAAAATAATTTGGACTCCAAATTTGGTACAAAACTTGGTCAGACATATGGCTTTAACTGAATAGCAAATTTAGAGTCCAAATCATTTTGTAAAAATATACTTTAGGCTGCATAAAAAAAAATTTGTTCAGTACATTTGCTTTACAGCTCAATGTCAGACCCGGCAGTCAGATCCTCTTCACCATCACACACACACACACACTTGCCCCTGAGCTTGCCCAATGTTTGTGATATCAACTTCAAATTTGGTACACCTTGGTCTGACACATGGCTTTGGTTTAGTAGCTGATTTAAAGTTGATATCACAAAACTGTACTGAACTAAACATTTTTTTACTCAAAAAAAATAATAATTTTACAAAATGATTTGGACTCTATAATAGCCAGAAAACCAAAGCCATGTGTCTAACCCAGTTTTGTACCAAGTTTGAAGTTGATATCACAAAAATTGAGCTTCTAAAAGGTTATAAAGCACCATTTCCAAATTCAGAAGAAAATCCACATCCTGCGGTGAAGATTTCGAATGATTCCTGATTATTTGCGATGGGTAAATTAAAAGCACGTCGAGTGACGGCTAACACACACTAAACAATGCTGGGTTGTTCATATGGACAAACTCAAATGTTAGTTAAAATTTTGGTCCCATTTTATATTAAGTGGCTTTAAGTACTTTGCATTTACATTGAAATTAATAATTTGATATTGTGTACATACATGTTTTCACATTGTACTTATATTTTGAAAATACCTGCATGTAATTACAGCTGTTATGTAATCACATTTGTAATTACACTGTTGCCCCTTCCCTTACACCTTAACCTACCATTAAAACTACCCATACCACCACACCTGACCCTAACTTTACCTGTATACCTCCTCAATAGCAGCAGAAGTGTTTAAAATAAACCTGAACACAATAAGTACATTGTACTTATTTTTTGATATAAGTACATAGTACTTAAAGCCACTTAATATAAAGTGGGACCAAAATTTTAATCAACTTCAACTTTTTAATTACATTTTTAACCCAAACTTTGGGTTTGTCTATATTTGACCCAATTTTGGGTTAAAACAACCCAGCATTTTAGACAGTTTCTCCAGTAAGTCTATTTTGGTTCATGTGATGACAAGTGTTGGCTCACCATCATGTGTAATTTTTCTATGTTTCCAGGTGAAAAGCAGCAGTGTGCATGATGAGTGTGTGTGTGTCACCTCCTCCGTGGCTCTGGCACAGGTACGGGAACCTCCAGACGTTGCCCAGCCCCACACAGAAGCCCACACAGGTCAGCATGTACTGGGTCTTGTTGTCCCACTGCGGGCGTTCTCCAGCCTCCTCCAGCTCCAGCTTCTCCAGCTCGGCGTGAGAGGGAATCCGCTCATCCAGACCCGGGTTCGGGAGCTTCAGCCGCAGACGCATCCTCACACTGCAGGGGTGGCGATAGTGTGTGTGTGTGTGTGTGTGTGTGATGGCGAAGAGGATCTGACTGCCGGCTCGTTATTAGTGACCTTTAATACTCGCTCCTTTATTCTGTGTTTTGTCAGCAAGATAAAGGCTCGTATGAAAGCTAAACTCGTCGAGTTAATGTGTAATGTTCACTCACGGCTGGATTGTTTCCGTCAGCGTCTGTTCGCTCGGTGCACGAGTCGTGGAAATGGGTTTAATTCATCCCAGCAGTGTTATTTCAGTCTAATTTATAATATTTTTAGACTTTTTAACTTTAAAAAAAAAACAAAAAAAAACAAACAAAAAAAACAATTATTTAAAAAATATATATATATATAGATAGATATATAGATATATCTGTAAAAATAAACAATTATTTAATATATATATATATATATATATTAAATAATTGTTTATATTTATACATATAGATATATATGTAAAAATAAACAATTATTTAAAAAAAAATATATATATTAAATAATTGTTTATATTTATGTATATAGATATATATGTAAAAATAAACAATTATTTAAAAAAAAAAAAATATATATATATATTAAATAATTGTTTATTTTTACGCGCATCACGGGTTTTAAATAATAATAATAAATAATTAATTGACCTTATTGAAATAGTTTTTTTTTCCTGAAATAAGTGATTTTTTAAGTTTATATGGTGGAACTCTATATTTTATATAGTTAAAGTTTTAGTCATTTTGTTGTCTTTTTATTTATTTCAGTGTCTATGTAGTTTTTATTTTAGTACTTCCGGTTCAACCAAATGAAAATGAGAAAAGGTAGATTAAATAAAATAAGCTTCATTTATTATATACAGTCGTGTGAATAAGACAGGACAACCCTATTGAATTCCATGGTTTTATGTGTAAAATCACCTGATCGTTGTAAATAAAACCTCAGATAAACTAACAACACATGACATATCACACATCGTCATTATTAATTTAACAAAAATGGAGAAGCCATTGGTGAGAAGTGAGGTCTTACTGCTTGAATCACAAAAATAGCGTGAAGAAATTGAATTCTTTTGACCAAATATTAATATCGGAATTATATTTGAAGGATTGTAACTAATGCAGGCTTTACTCTATTTAATGATCTGGTTGAACGCTTCTTATCTCATCTTTACTGCAACTTTAAATGCTAATCAATGTTCACGATCAAATCTGGTTTATTATTAAACTGGCATTGTTAAGAACAACAAGAGCACATCATAAAAATACTGATAATACACGATTACAAGGATTTCATGTAAATATTATATATTACAGTCACTGTACACTGACATGAACAACAGAATTATATGAGATAAAGCACACAATCCCCCCAATAATTGATCTTAGATCAAAAATTAGCTTATATAGAATGAAAAAATGATGGGAAAAACTTGCTCCTGACTTTCAGACGTGTGTTCAGCGTCCACAGCAAAGACTTCTGGGTAAACGGCTGTTTTCTAGTCATTGCTGCTAGAGTAATGTTGTGTGTGTCCTCAAAACAATAAAATAGATACATGTGAACTCCACTTTTCGTATATACATCCAAACCACAGAAAACTGAGACGGTTCAGTCTCGGCAGTGCAAATCCCGTGTGTAAACTCCAGTGGGGGTCAGAGGTCAAAGGTCAGTCTGGATCCCTCGTGTTTGTGTGTTGTGTTCAGCGTCTGTGATTGTCGGTCTCGTCGGGCATTCGTATTTTGTCAGAGATGGAGTAGAGCGGCTCGCCGGTGTGTTTGTGTGTGTCCTGTGTGGCGCAGCAGCGGTTCTGGATGAGTTTGTAGAGCGCCACGGCCGGGATCACCAGCGCCGGAGCGCCAGACAGAATGAAGATGATCGCGTAGATCCAGTCCGGGTACGAGCGCGTCGACAACAGAGGGAAGTCGTCCTGTCACACACACACACACAAAGCTGGTGTTATTCACTACTCAGATTGAGTTATTAGTCATCTTTATTCATTACACTGAGGTATCGTAAGTGTAATAAATAAATATAAATAATAAATAGCTGAGTAATAAATACAAACATATTAATAATAAATAAAATATAAACAAATGCGTAATACATAAAGAGAAAAAATAAACTTACTAAATAAGCGTAGTAAATATAAAGAGTAATAAAGAAATAATGTGTTATATGTAAATGTGAGTAATAATGTGTTAATAAATTAGTATTAAATACTCTTTTATTTAAATTCTATTCATTATTCTTGTGTTACTCATTTAAGTATTAAATATTTATGTATTTATTACAATATTTATGTATTACAAGTGTATATATTACTCTTTTTATTTATTGCTCATTTATTTATTTATGTATTAGTCATATTCGTATTTATTTTTTTGTTTATTTATTACTCATGTATTTATTGATATTTATCACATTTATTTATGACTTATTCATGTTTATTGATTAATTATTCATATTACTCATATTTATTTATCATATATTTTTGTATTACTCATATTTATTTATTTAGTGGCAATTTATTTATAATTCATATCTATTACTAATATTTATCTCATTTTATTTTTATGTTTTACATTATTTATCAGACCTGATGTAAATGTGGCAGATTTTGGTCACTCATTAATTTCTGAAAACTAATTTAGGAAAAATTTTTCTGTCTTTAATTTTTCTTTTTTTAAATAGCCCAAACTATTGGCGATTTCCGACAGTTTGTCCAGAAATGAATAACATAATTGATATTTTTCATCCCATTCAAATCTATTTCTTTTAGTTTTACCATAGGAACGTACGGAGGCGTATTGCATTCATTTGAAGAAAAAAAAAAATCCACTGTTTTTCTGAATTAACAAGTTAATTATCTCAGAATTACGAGATAATTTTTCATGGAAAAAAGTTTTTGCTACGTTTTTCTGAATTAACGAGTTATTTTTTCATGAGAAAAAAATTCTCATGAAAATTAACGAATTAACGAGTTAATTTTTCATGAGAAAAAACAATTTTTGCTCTGTTTTTCTGAATTAATGCGTTTATTTTTCATGAGAAAAAAAAATTTGATCTGTTTTTCTGAATTAACGAGTTAATTTTGCATGAGAGAAATTTTTTTGCTCTGTTTTTCTGAATTAACTAGTTCATTTTTCATGAGAAAAAAACATTTTTGCTCTGTTTTTCTGAATTAATCAGTTAATTTTTCATGAGAAAAAAAGTTTTTGCTCTGTTTTTCTGAATTAACTCGTTAATTCTGAAAAACAGAGCAAAAAAAAAAACAATTCCATGAAAAATTAACTCGTAAATTCAGAAAAACAGAGTAGATTTTTTTTTTCTTCAAGTGAATGCAATACGCCTCCGTACAAACGAGATGGTTATAGTAGTGGCAGCCGTTGCTGACATTGATCTTAGATGGATCTAAAGGCGGACGGGCACAGTGTGTATGAGTGTGTGTATGAGATGCACGCACCGACTCCGGGTCCCAGGCGATGTAGGTCAGCTCTTTGCTCACAGTGGTGACCAAGTAGAACAGGAATATGACCAGAACGATGAGCGGACTGATCAGCCTCCAGGTGGCCTGCCAGAAGAAGTTGGGCTTGTGTCCGATCATGAACTCGATGTCTTTGTTGAACCTGCGAGAGGAGAACGTCAGGAACCCATCATCACGCACCAGCACACATCTCTCCAACACACACTCACCTGTCGATCCCATAGAGGTAGGACACCGCCATCATCTCACAGAAGGCGATGATCAGCAGAGGAATCGATCCCGCAAAGCTGTCGAACAGAGCCAGCCAGTAATCCCCAGATCCCTGAGCGAAGATGATCGCAAGACTGAACGACACCAGACACACCAGACCTGAACACGTCGGAGATCAACAATCAGTTCAAAGTCACCAAAAACACATTTGCAGTTGATTCTGGTGATTTATTGGTGAACAGCATTAATGTTCCTCGAATAACCCCTCCCTCTCTTCTGGGATGATGTGGGCGGGGCTTTAACCTGTCACTCACATGAGATCAGCAAATAGCAAACCACAACCATCCAATCAATTCCCACATACTAAATCAAGCCCCGCCCACATTTGTTCTCGTTCCAGAATTTCACTCAGATTTACAGTCAAAACAAAATTTATTCAGACACCTACGGAGCCCCCCTAGTCCCACTTTGGCAAAAAAAAAAATTAATTATAACTATCTTGTGGCCTCAAGATACTATTACTATACTAGAGTAACTCTATCTTGAGGCCACAAGATAGTTATAATAAATTTTTTTTTGCCAAAGTGGGACTAGGGGGGCTCCGTAGACACCAGATACGATTTTTGAATATAATATTTTTGCTATAATAAACTGAGATGATGTGAGAAATGTTGAAGGTGTCTGAATATATTTCGGTTTGACTGTAAGACAAGCGCAGCTTCTGTTTCATGCGTGTATGTGTACCTGTGTAAACCTCTTTGGGCCACTTCTTAGGGAGGATGTTGAGGTCTTGGAGCGGCGCGACGACGCCTTCCACACTCCCGAACATGGTGGACAGTCCCAGACAGAAGAGCATGATGAAGAACAGCACGGACCAGATCGGAGAGACGGGCATCTTGGTGATGGCCTCGGTGAACACGATGAAGGCCAAGCCGGTTCCCTCGACGCCCTGCGGCAGATCACAGGACAGGGTTCGTACACGCGCCTCAATAACAGTGTTTTACATTTCAGTCCTGGAAAACCCTTGAAAACAGCCAGACGTGCTGGAAGGGCTTGACTTATTGAAAGACATTATATACACTATCAGTCAAAAAAAAAAAATAATAATAATATATATATATATATATATATTTTTTTTTTTAAAGAAAAACAATTTGATTAAAAATACAAAAAATAGAGTAAAAATTTGAAATATTATTCCAGTGTAAATCATCAGTTCTCTATGTGAATATACAGTAAAGTGTAATTTATTCCTGTGATCAAAGCTGAGTTTATCATCATTACTCCAGTCTTCAGTGTCACATGATCCTCCAGAAATCACTCTAATATGAGGATCTGATGATCAAGACACATTTATGATTATGAGGAAGGTCTGGATGTCGTCACACACACACACACACACACACACACACACACCTGACTGAGGAAGGTCTGGATGTCGTCACACACACACACACACACCTGACTGAGGAAGGTCTGGATGTCGTCACACACACACACACACACACACACACACACACACACACACACACACACACACACACACCTGACTGAGGAAGGTCTGGATGTCGTCACACACACACACACACACACACACACACACACACACACACACACACACACACACCTGACTGAGGAAGGTCTGGATGTCGCAGGTCTTGAGCTGGAGCTCCTGAATGACGGCTGGTGTCGTGTTGTTGAGATGCTGAAGAACGCTGTCATAGTTGCTCTCTGTGATGTTTCCCTCCGGCAGATCAAACGTGTTCATCAGTGCCAGGATGTTGCTGTCGGGAAACAAAAGCGCAAATTGAGCAAATTCTCTTTGAAAAATGAGGAAAAAAATAAAATGTAAAATTACATATTTTAATGTTTATTAATTTTCTTGTTTATTTTTAATACACTGAACAAAATTATAAACACAACACTTTTGTTTTTGCCCTCAGTAAGATCATCAGCGAGTTCGCGCTGGAGTACCGGATCACACGCGGATTACCGGAACAAGACGCGCGGGAAGCTGATCAGCACAGCGGTGAGCTTCACAAAAACAAAAGTGTTGTGTTTATAATTTTGTTCAGTGTATTAACAATAGCAGTGTGTGGTTTTGAAGCGTCATGAGAATGAGTAAATAATGACAATAATTATTTTTTGGTGAACTATTCCTTCACAGATCATAAATCAGTTGTGTGTGTGTGTGTGTTTGTGTGTAATATGAGATGTGTTCCTGCTGTCACATTTACCCGTTGAGACAGTCGTCGAACCTCTCGGTGGCCCTGAAGCCGATGATGGAGTAAATCACGATGGCGGCGTAGATCGACGTGAAGCCGTTTATCACAGAGATGATGACGGCGTCCTGCTCGCAGTTATTACTGGACACACACACACACACACACACATGAGAACATTAGCAAGCAGGCTTTCAATCTGTTTCACTCACCGGACACTATGTTTCCGGCCATTCAGAACGTCTACTAGAAGTTTATATAGTAAATTATACAGTAAAACCTGATGAGTTAGTTCAACTCAAACCGTTTGAGGAAACCGATTGCCTTAAATCATTTAAGTTTATTAACTCAAACAATTTAAGCATAAAAAAATATTTGATTTGTTTCCAAATAACTCAATAACTTATTGTTAAGATAACTTGGGTAAATAAAGTTAATACTACTAATTAGTTACTACAACTTAAATCTATGAAGTACACTGTAAATCTGAATAAGTTGACAGAACTCAAATCACTTTTAATAGTATAAACTTAACTTTAAAAGCTAATCTACTGACATTGTAAATGCTAACATATTAGAAACAGTATGCTATAAACAGTATGTTATAAGTTACAAGCACATAAGCACTTGCTGTATGAGCGTAATAATATAAAGGGATAATTTGCTCTCAAATCAAGCTGAATGCACCACTAACTATCCTAAAGCCAACATTAAGAAAAATTCTTCTAAATTAGTATAACAAAACATTAATCACTACTAAATCTCACACTTAACATTAATCTTACACAAAAAAAAAACATTATATTGCACTTAATTTTAGCATTTACACTCTCTTTCGTGTGCCATCGGCAAAGCATGCTGGGAAATAGATATCCCAGCCATTTCAGTTAAACTTAAGTTCGTCTAAATTAAAATAAATAATTTCATAAAAGTCGAAACAATGAAACTGTTCAGTTTACTTAAAATATATCAGTTCTGTGAACTTGAAAGAAAAAGAAAGTGCTTTAAATAATTTGACTGAACTAATTCGTTGAATTTAAGTTTGTCCTACTCAAACCAATAAATAATTTTGACCGTTAGGGTTTACAGTGATTGAACTCACATGTCACTAGGTTCGCAATAATATTTTCAACAATTTTTTATTTCTTATTCAAACCAAATGAATTTGAGTAAGTACTTCAGGGCTGCTAAAATGCATTTGCACACCAGAACCTGTCTGGAAGTAGAAGGTCGTATTGCCTCTTTTATCTGCGTACTGTGATTTGTTTTCCGTCTACTATATAGCAGGGAAGTGTGCAATTTCGGACACAAACTCACTGCTTTACTCTACAGCTGTGAAGATAAAGATGAAGCTGACGAGACTCACTGCACAGAGTTGTAGCTGGAGAAGGAGATGAGTCCTCCGAACGCCAGAGAGAAGGAGTAAAACACCTGAGCTCCAGCGTCCAGCCACGTCGCCGGATTCAGCAGCTCGTCCAGCTGAGCGAGACACGATCCGTGAGGAAACATCACGTCACACACACAGTCACAGCTGGGTTCGCCTAAACTTTAACTTAATGTTAACCAGCATTAAATTGTTAAATATTGACAAAATATTAGAAAGGCTGAATCACAGTGAATAGTAATAAACGATCTCTGTGCTCGATAGAAGGAAGTAGAAGCGGGCCCAAGACCGAACCCTGAGGAACACCCCTGCTTACTTTAGATGACTTTGGTTGGAAATTTCTAAGTTGAACTGAGCGTGACCAGAGAGATATGATCTAAAACAAGACCAGTAATCCCAGAGTCAGCTGCCAATGTAGTGTTCAAGGGGAAATCATGGAAATCGGTCAAAAAAAATTAGAAATCTGTCAAAATTGGATCGATTTTTTTAAGTATTGGAGTAATAATCGCATATTTAAGAGATGAAAAAATTGATTGAAGAATGAACAATTTTAGTAATAAAACAAGACAAATGGTAGACAGGCTTTAACTGAGTGAGTAAACTCAGATTTCCAGATGAGTCCGTGGACAGAATGTGGAGGCTAGTTGTTTTTTTTAATATAGTTCTTTTAAAAAATGCTAATTTAATTCGAGTTTTAGCTTTTTTTTGTTTTGTCGTTTTGATTATTTGTTTTTTAATAGTTCTATAATTTTTTTATATTATTGTATTTGTAATTTTGTTGTGTTTTTATTAGTTATAGTTTTTTAATCTAGTTCTAGTTTCGTTCGAGTTATTTTAGCATCAAGTTATAAATGTTACATTGGCAGCTATACCTAACAAAATAAGTTTATATTTTTCATTTTTATTTTACTTTTTCATGGTTTAAGTTTTAGTTTAACTATGATAACCCCTGCCTACTGACTTGGTTAACATCAACCAAAACGTAAAGTAAAATGATGATTTAGTTGTCGATGACGAAAGTCTTCCTTCACTACAGGATGTCTGAGCTGCAGTTTTCCATGAAACTCGAGCGTAAAGTGAAGAGTCAAACTCACGTCTGGAGTGAAGAGGAACTTGATGCCGCTCACAGAGCCTTTGAGGGTCAGGCCTCTGATGAGGAAGATGGTCAGCACCAGGTACGGCAGCGTAGACGTCACGTACACAGCCTACAGAGAGACAGACACGAGAGATTTTTGTTGACCCGTAACGCCACTAGTGTAACAAGGTAAAAAAAGACAATTAAAAAGCACAAAGTATTATCAACATTTTTTGGAAGTTGTTACAAAGTCCGATGAATCTGACATTACTCAGTGTTTTTTTTTATCAGCTACGGTTCAAAATGACCTGAACACAAAACACATTTCACATTTAAATACATTTATGCTTTAATTTAAAAACAAAACAGAGGAAAAAAAGTACTCATGGAATTTGTTTAAATTTCATGCAGTAATAATAAAAGAAATTGTGCATTTAATGAAAAATTAGCATTTTTCCTCAACAATAGTCATTATTTTGGTTGTGAGTGTACTTCAGTATCATGAAAAAAATCTTGTCCTCCTGTGGTGTAAATCCAGCGTTTAATGTTGTTTATGCGTGTATGTGGTGTGTTTAATCCGCTTTAACACACACCATGTGTAAGTTGATAAGTGGACAGCATTGCTGAGTGTAAGACAGTCTCAAAAACACGCTTTGGTGTTTCTGACGTCACAAACCACCTTGTAACCAATCAGATCAACGTGTGATCGTCAACCAGTGGATCTGAGTGAGTGGAGGTGGGGCTCATTTGCATATTCATAAAAACCACGCATACTAAATGAGGCAGTGGTGTCGAGTTACAGTCAAGTTATTTTAAGGCCTATAGAATATTTTTTTCATGGAAAAACTTTCAAATATATCATTTCAGTGATCAGATATGAGTGATGAAATGATTTTAAAGATTTTAAGAACGCTTTCTTCATGAAAATCTTATCTTCATATTTATTTTCTTTTTATTTTGCCTTTAAATACGACCAGGAAATTCCCCTTCCTGTTGTGACAGTCGCATCCCGTGCTTTAGCAGAAAAGTGTGTGTTATCAATGAAGTGATTACAGCCATCAGTGGTGTTGGTATCTTTACAGCTGCCCTTTGTGCTCTTTTTATAATAGTGTAATACATGTGCAGTGATTGTTCCAGTTTCCTCCGATTATCAGTTTTATGAGCTTTTCTTGTTGTGTGTGTGTGTGTGTGTGTGCGCTAGATAATGCTTAACCAGGACATGCGCTCGCACATCTGTCCATGGCTGACCCCGGGTTATCTCGTTTCTGGAGTCACGCTGGGAACAGGTTTGGAGATTTCTCATCATAAACCGGGGTTAATGTTCGCATTTCTTTACGAGGTTATTGTTGTGTTGTTGCGGCGGTCCTCTAATAAATAACGGTCTTCTTTATGACTCTGGTTGACACATGACGTCAGTGACTGACAGTGTGTGTGGAGGGCTTTAACCCAACGATACACATGCAGTATGAAACGTGTGGACGGGTCCTTGTTGTTTCTTGTGTTACAATTTTGCAATTTTGGGTGTGATGTATTAATTATTTATTTATTAATGATATAGTGATAGAGTTCAGAATACAGTTCTGTAGTAAACCTTTAACATTAAAACCTCTCACAAATTGCAAAAAAAGTAAACATATTTTTTTAATTGTTTAACAACAATTCTTTTAAAAAAAGTATTTTAATATTACAAACAGTACAGACAATTTTTATATTTTTATTTTATTTTGTGCAGTAGAGGTGTTTATGTTTATGCCTTTGATGCAGTGAGTGTATATATTTTTTGATGGGGAAAAAAGCCTGTCAAATGCATAAATGTAAATACTCTGAAACTTTTATAACAAAATACCGTTTTACACGATTATTTGGGGTCTGTGCAGCGTTCTTTAGTCTTTAGTAAAAAAAAATCATGCTTTGGTAAATATTAATTGACATGTGAAGTAGTAATTATGGCATTAAAAGTTGATACAATGAAAAAAAAAACCGAAGTCAATTATTACATAAAGTTATAATCATGACATTTAAAGTTAAATTATGATTGTCAATTATCACATTAAGTCTTAATTCTGACATTCAAAATCAAAACTGATGTTCAACGTCATAATTAGGACATAATTTAAGTCATAATTATAACATAAAGTCAAAATTATGACATACTAAGTCAAAATTGGAATAAGTTGAAACTACATTAAATTCATAACTGACATAATTACATAGAAAGTCGAAATTATAAGATGAATACTGATTGTTGATAATAGATCGATTATGATGTAATTCCGAATCTTATATTCTCTGTTTGTGTGAAATGAAGGTCAATGGGGTCCAAAACGACAGGAAAGCCCACTTGCGTCAGTCCTGAGGTTGTGTGAGTGATATGAGAGCAGCGAGCGAGGTGTGTGATTCGTGTGTATCACCTTCCCGGTGGTCTCGATGCCCCTCAGACAGCAGACCCAGAGCAGAGTCCAGGCGCAGAACAGGCACAGCACGATCCACCACTGCAGGCCTCCAGACTCCCCGATCGCCGGCGTCGTGTTCAGAGTCTCCCGGTACCAGAAGTAATCCACCGGAGAGCTGCGCGCGCACTCCGACACGAACCCTGCTCACACACACACACACACACCTGAGTATTTTCTGCTCACGGTTTGAAATCGCTGGTGTTTCTGATGTCACAAACCACCTCATTTGCATATTTATAGAACCACGCATACTAAATGAGGCAAGGGTGTCGAGTTACAGTCAAGATATTTTAAGAAAAACGGAAAAAACGTTTAAATATGTCATTTTGGTGATCAAATGGAGTTTAAAGGGATGAAATTTAAATAATTAAAAATAGTAAATAAAATAATAAGTAAAATAAGGAAAAGGCAAAACAATAATTTGTTTAATAGTAATAAACTAATAAATAAAAAAATCTTTTGAACAATTTATTAAAATGACACTTGAAATAAAAACAATCAGCCAATGGGGGCAGCAAGTGTGTTTTTCTGACTCCACTGGCAGATGTGTGTGTTCTTGTTTTAAAGCTACACTGTGTGATTTTTACCCCCATCTAGTGGTGAAAAGGTATATGACCATCCAGTCAATATTACTTTCTGTTTCTCTCAATTCCGATTTCGTTTTAACTCCTACGGTGGCCAATGTAGTCCAAGATTAACACAGCTTCCAGTTCGACCTCGTCCATGAGTGTGAACCGAAACGTAAACGTGAAAGGCGAAACTTGAATTAACGGGTATGTCCCTCTTTGGCTAACATACTTTCAAGATGTAGAGTCAACATGGCGACCGACATTAGAACTCCTTACCCGTATGTATTTTCTATGGCATATTATACACTCACGAGAATACTTTATTACTTGAACGAAGTAAATATACATTAATGAGCACACAGATTTTTGAAAGAACTAAGCGTTTTTAGCTAAGAAAAAACTAAAAGAGTTACACAGTGTAGCTTTAAGAATAAAACATTTCAGAACTCAAACTCATTTAGCTTCATCCGTAGATGTGCCTTGATTTAAGAGTGTTTAGATATTTGTAGTGGAAACAAAACAAAAAATACTGAGCAAGATATATATATTTTTATTTTTTATTTTCATGTAAAACATGTATTATTTGAGTGTCTTCTGTGATTGTGTGTGTGGTCAGGTGACTGAAGAGTCCTCGGCCGTACCTGTGCGGTTGTCGTTGACGGGACACTGGCTCCAGGGGAGAGGGTCCTGGAACGAGTTGAAGAAGTACCACATGACCCAGGCGATGATGGTGTTGTAGTACATGCCCACCATGAAGGACACCAGCATAGAGGCGATGCCTGAGGGTGAGAGTGGCCGTCAACACGCGTGTGTTCATGTGTTCATTGATTATTATTAATAGTGATGACATCACTTCCTGTTGGCCATTGTAACTTCGGTTGGGTGCAATTTGCAAACCTCGCCACTAGATGCCGCTAAAACTTACACACTGCACCTTTAACAGTGTCTTGCTTTCACACTCACCGACTCCAGTGACGACATCACTTCCTGTCGGCCACCGTAACTTCTGTTGGGTGCAGTTCGCAACCTCACCACTAGGTGGCTCTAAAACTTACACACTGCACCTTTAACGGTGTCTTGCTTTCACACTCACCGACTCCAGTGAGATACGGGTTGATGGATCTCCAGACGCCGACGCTGCCCTTCCGCAGCCTCTGTCCGATGGCGAACTCCAGATGCAGGAGCGGGATTCCCTCCAGGACCAGCAGGATCAGGAACGGGATCATGAACGCTCCTGGAAGACCAACGGTAAGATCATTTATTCTCAGCAGCATAAACTATCCATTTTTTGGCATACAATTAATTATTTGCTAACACTTTGCAGTGAGGTTTATTAGTTAACATTAATTACTAACATGAACTAACCATGAGCAATATATTTTTTACTGTATTTTTATTTTTCGTTATAAAAACACAGCTGTTTATGTTAGTTCACAGTGCATTCTCTAATAAAGTATTAGTAAATGTTGAAATGAACATTAACAAAGATTATTAAATGCTGGATACGTGCAGTGCATTATTAGTGCATGTTAACTAATGATGTAGGGTAACTAACGAACGTTTATTGTAAAGTTAGCAGTTATTACTGGTTAAATTGCCTTTCGCTGAGTCATTCTGCAGCCGCTGGAAACAAGGTGATGTCATTAAACATCTGAGTCTTTATCTGAGCGTTTCACTCTTATCAGCCTGAAGCTTCGAAAGTCCACATGATGATGATGATGATGAAGATAACCCTGAAACTGCTCAGTCACTTCAGAATCATCATGAATCATCATCATCATCATCAGTGTGTTTTTGTGGAAGATGCGCTTCCATATCTCAGATTTGTGTTCCTGTACGTTGAGACAAAGTTGAGATGTCACGAATCAGATACTTGTTATAAAACAAATTATAATTTTTATCTTATCAATTAATTTGTGAGCATTTCCTTTCAACCATTCAGGCGAGCGACTCGCTGTTTTCAGGCGTGTGTATCAGTATACTGGATCAGTGCAGCTCTTAAAGTGACAGCAGCCTAATATTCCTGCCGTCTAATCAATAATCAAACGAAAATTCACTTGTTCTTGACTGAATAACTTTTGTAACTATATTTGAAATATATATTACAGTTAGTTGATGACATTTTCTGTAATATCTGAAAATCCTAAAACCCTGATTGTCTTCGCTCTTTGTTTATTGTCTTTAATAACGCTTGAAGTGTACATTAGTTCGGCTCCTTGTGTAAGTGTTCTTTAGCCTAATGACTTCTGTTCATGATTTTCAAATGTTTTGTAATTAGACTAAATGTAAATTATGTCTAGGTTTTTTTTTAACCTTATTGGAATCAAATTAGGAATCGATATCTTTAAAATTCAATCGATACCCAACCCTATCATGCTCGCTGGTCTCTCTAAATTTTCCCATATGCCATTTTTGTTATTTAATTTTGTCATAAAATGCCATTTTTTCTGAAGGCATTGGCGTATCATTATGAATCTCGGTGTCAAAAAATGGCACAAAATTTCCCCAAAATAACTTTTGATTAAAATAGACTATTTCAATGATACTTGTCTTAATAGATTCGAGACCACGAAACCAAATTCTGTTGAACTTCCTGTCCGCCATTTTGATTTTTTTCCGAAACCTTCTTTTTCAAACTCGTCCGATTTTCATCAAATTCAAGTGAGATCATCTTCAGACAGTGCCGGCAATATATTATAGATTTTGGCTTGATTGACGAAACTTTTTTCGTACACCGCATCAATAAATTGAATGGCATGATGCCGAAATGACTGACCACACCACATCAATTTCAGAACTGCGCCACCTATCGGTCGAAAGTAATAAGCCATGAAATCATTGCTAGTAACTGTATTTATAATGAATAAACTGTATTTACCATAAAAAGCCCCTTGAAGAGTAATTATTTCTCTAAATTATACTAGCAAACGGACACATGGACATGGAGACGTCCAGCATTTCTGAATGGAAACTTCCACCCAGTTTTAATAGCGAAATCAATCTGGTGTTGATTAGCCGTGGAAGCATCTGTCGCTGTCCTGAAGGTGAATTAATCTTTAACTATAATTGCTTTAAGTGGCAGCGTTCAGCCCATTAAGGGCCTTGGGGTTTTATGAGGCGTGTTAATAGTAGATCCATCAAACACACACAATTACAGCACTTCCATCTTTAAAAAACTAGCAAACAAGTGTTTATGGGTTACTATTGTACTATTCCCAGAAACACTTTTAGACGAATTGCTTTTAATACATTGATATGTTAAAAAAAAAAATACAAGCCAGTTGTTCTCTAAATCAAATGTTTGAATGCACCGCTCATTTAAATCAATTATAAAAATGCCCTAATATTACATGCATAAAATTAAATCAAGTTGCAAGTTCATCGAAAATGAAGCACAAAAACAACTTTTGTTGCGTTTGAAATGCTAATAGATGTGTTGAACATTGTGTTCACGGTTAGCTTAGTTAGTTAGCTAGTTAGTTGTTAATTGATTAAGTAGTTACTTAGTTGCTTGTGAACTTGAACAGAACTGACTTACTAAAAATCACTGATTCAAACAAACTGAGTCTTCAGACACATTATGCAATTTGTGCATTTAAATTGCACATAAAACTTCCATCCATTGTAATATTCATCAGTCCACAAAATCAATATATTTATCATCAATACATCTAAATTTCTATTAATCTAATAAATTCAATAAATCTAAATAGTTTCAATCCAATGCATTTTAACTAAACTGAACATTGCTTGTTCCACAGCTAGTCATATTTTAACCTTCATGCTTTTCAGCTCAATACATATAAACACATTATTGGTGATTCCAAGCCATTTTTAAAAATATGATTATTTGAATACCACCGAATAGATGCGAATGGTTAATAAACCAGCTTAATTGACAAATATGCATCATATTGAGTTTGTAAATGTTAAAACTGTAATGCATGGAAGTTTTGAATGCAATTAAAGCACCATATGTGTGATTCAGAGGTTTGTAATGTGTAATTTTTCTATGTTTCCAGGTGAGAAGCAGCAGTGTGCATGATGAGTGTGTGTGTGTCACCTCCTCCGTGGCTCTGGCACAGGTACGGGAACCTCCAGACGTTGCCCAGCCCCACACAGAAGCCCACACAGGTCAGCATGTACTGGGTCTTGTTGTCCCACTGCGGGCGTTCTCCAGCCTCCTCCAGCTCCAGCTTCTCCAGCTCGGCGTGAGAGGGAATCCGCTCATCCAGACCCGGGTTCGGGAGCTTCAGCCGCAGACGCATCCTCACACTGCAGGGGTGGCGATAGTGTGTGTGTGTGTGTGTGATGGTGAAGCGCTCTCGGAGACGAGGACGAGAGAAGAGATGCAGTGATGACAGGAGATGCCCATAAATACTGCAGCGACTTAAGACGTGGTGATCTTTAGCACTGACACCCCTCCCACACACACACACGCGCGGTTGTGGGATCAAGGTTTGACATTCTTATATCTGTTCATTCTTGCATTTTTTAAATATTTTTTCCAAAAACATACTTTATATGAATTATTTATTCACGACATTCATAATGTTACAAAATATTCTATTTTGGATACAATTTAATTCTTTTTATTCATTAAAGAATCCTGAAAAAAAGGTACGGATACAATGTATCAGTTTCATAAAAATATGAGCTATTATCAACACTGATAATAAATCATAAATGTTGATCGTCAGATCCTCATATTAGAGTGATTTCTGGAGTTCTTTTTATTATGATGATAAATTCAGCTTTGATTCACATCGAGAACAGATGATTTACATTAGAATAATATTTCACTGTTTTACTGTATTTGTGGTCAAACTGTAGTCTCGGTGAGCAGATCTTTAGAATAGTAGACTATTGTAATGTTCTATTATTTATTTTTTTAATTTGTGAATTTATGATTGAATTCGCTTGCAAATTTCATTTTATTGCAGATTTTTTTTTGTTTCATTTTCTAGTTTGTGTTTCCTTAGTTAAATTTTACAATGACTTTTAACTATTATTAGGCATGAAAATAAACTCACAATACAAAATATAAAGAAAAAAAAAAGATAGTCTTTCCAAAAGACATTTTTTTATCATTATTTTTCATATGGGGTTCAAAATATACGTACAATTTGACCTTTTCATATTGTTTTTACCGCCTCAGTCGCTTGTTAATGTCTTTTAATACATCAGTGATTGAGATCCAGCTGGATGACTCTGTTATATAATAACTTGAGGTTTATTCCTCTGATATTAGTGTGTAAACGAGTGAAGAGAGGCTGACGGGTTTACTCAGGGTGGGTTTACAGGGCAAGAGTGTGTTATCTCACAGATAAACACCGTCATAAACACACACACACACACTGAAGTCCCCCACGGTTTAATGAACGAGTGGGAGAGTCGCGTCAGGAATCATTGATGATTTATACTAAACGTGTGTGTGTGTGTGTGTGTGTGTGTGGAGTCAGGAATCATTGATGGCGTTTGAACAGCTCAGCTTCAGGTCGAGATGTTTTCCAGAAACTGCCTGACTCGTCTGATGCTGATGTCGTGAGTAAGATCTTCATCTGTCAATCATTCCCAATTAACTCCACATTAAGTGTCACTTCACTTAGTAAGGGAGCGTGTCGTTTAACTCAAGAACAAGTTATTAAATAACTCACTTCATTTTATGAGGAGGATGATTGTGGCCTACATGATCATGTTCGACGGCTCAATGATGTGCTGTGAACAGATGTTGGACATCACATCACGATGATCATTTATACAGGTTCGCAACAGAGCTAAAGTTACAGTAGGCCTAATATTAATATGTTTTTTTTTTTTGCATCAGTATTTATTTATTGGCCCTTTTCTGAATGAGTTTCTGAATGTTATTTATACAAAAACCCAAAGGGCGTGAGTGGGGTAAGATGAGCCACCCACTTTATCTGGGCAATTGTACACTTTTATTGTCATGTGGTCATATATGTCGTATCCACCCATCATTTCTGACACGTGTGGGGGGGGGAAGACACCCATTTACTTTAAAGTACAATTTCTGCATAACAGCTGTAATGCTGTAACATTAAAGCACATTTGTCCAGGTCTTCTAATATTTATGATTCTTATAGCAATGTATAAAACCATGCAAATCATTTGGGTAAATATTATTAGCCTGGATTGGTAAACTTCAAAGTAAAATTGACCTCATTTTTCTGTGGCAAGTGTTTAGCACGATTATTTTTTAAAGGTGCTGTGTATTTTTTAGCGGATTGCAACCAATTTTTCCACACTGAGACTTTACACACAGCATGCTGGAGAGAGAATGCTGGAAACTCATGTAAACTGGCACTGTAATCAGCTGGACTGAACTAATGATTCATGATAACACTACATGTGTGCTGTTATCTCCCATAAGGCATTTCACTGACTATTCGTGTATCTTTCACAAGATGTTGTTTTCGTCCGATGCGATTGTCGTTTGGCCTGTCGTTTCGTTTTGTTTTGTATATTGATGTGGCGTTTGTGGAGACTTCACTAATAGGAATACTGGCCTTCAGAGGTAAAAGCAAAACACGATAAGTGGATCATTGTAATGTGTGATTACAACCCCTTCACACACAGGCAATAAAAAAAGTTACTGTAATTTTAGAAACATGTCGTTTCAGAAATAGATATTGAAATGTCAACTTCATTTGGTTGGTTTGATGCTGTTTAAAAAGGTAATTTGATCATTAATTTAGTATCTTTACAATTTCGATTCAGAATCAGATGGAGCATCTTGGATCAAGCCTGGGGTAAATTGAGCCACAGGAACACTTTTTTTACTGTAATAAGAAGCCATATTTTTAGAAAACGTTGTCATATTCTGATCGTTTAAAATGCTAAACATTCCGAAATTACTTTATTATAATACTTTTATTACTTCCATGTTTGCAGTTTCCGATAGAGATAACCAATAATTCATTATTTGTACATAAGTGACTTATCTTTGATAAATAGATGATAAATATCGTACCAAAGTGCATGCACGAACGTGTGTGTGTGTGTGTGTGAGAGAGATAAACAGAGTGAGAGTGAGTGTGTTGTGTGTGAGACATAGAGAGACAAATTGTGACAAATTAAAGTTAATTCAGTAACACCAGCTGTATCACTAATGTTTTTGTTTTTTTTTTTTTGCTTTATTTTTTATTTTTTTATTATTCAATATTTTTTTTACAATAGTGCAAACATGCACCTCTTAAACATCTGGATCATTTCCAACAAGGCATATATTGAACAAGTAGATTCATTCTTGCATAAACAAAATAAAGAAGAAAAGAAGAGAGAAAAAGGAAACAAACAAACAAACAAACAAAAAATTAACAGCAAACACATACTAATCATCTTGGTACATGAAAGATTCTTCAGAAAAGAAAAACATTTTCTATTATCAATTTTCCTAAGAGATTTGATTAAATAATTTTTCTTCACATAAAAACTCATTAAAAATAGGAATTTTCATAAGAAATCTTTTTTAATTTTGCCACAATTATCCAAAAGTTAACAGTAGATTCTAAAGACTTGTTTGGACATTCAAAAAAAAAAAAAAATGCTGATGATATCCTTGATTCAAAGACTACCATTCATATTAACTTTAGAAAAACAATAAGATCGCAAATCATTCCAAAAACCTGATGAAACATTACAATAAAAAAACAAAAACAAATAAAATATATGTCTTCAAATTCAGTATTACAGAAGGTGCATATATCAGGTAGATCACAGTATTTGGATAACAGTGCGTTACAAGGGTATATATTATGCAGAATTTTAAAATGGAATATATACCTTTACCTGCGTGACGTCACCAGCCGTATGATCACGTGTGTGTGAAGCGCTTTCATCAGTTACTGCACGGTTTAACATCACAGGCTTCCTCGAGTCTCGTGCTCATGTATGCAGGACTGGTGATGCGGTGCAGTCACGTGACCCTCTGCTGCCCTCTGCTGTCCGCGGCTCGCGTCACACTCTCAGATCAGCAAGAGCCGTGAGCGAGCGTTTTATGAGATAAGATAGCAAAACTCGAGAGCGTGTAGTGAATTTGAGAACATATACAATAATATTCGTTATACGTTGACATTTACACTCGCAGCTCCAAAGTGAAAACCTGGAAAATACAAATCTGAAGTTGAATGATGCAAACAAGCAGTCACAATTGTGTAAAATGCCATTCACAGAAATACAGTAGGCCATTACCATATGACAGACATAAACTTGTGAGTGTAAATTTTAGCGTACAAGTACGAATATGTATTGTACTCTGTAAAAATAAAATAAAAAAATGAACCTGGTTGCCTTCTTGAGGAATTGAAACTTGCTGGCATCGAAAAGTCATTAAAGACATCGTTAAAATAGTCCAAATGACTACAGTGGCTCAATCTTAAGTTTATCAAGCGACGAGAACAATTTTTGTGCACAAAACAAACAAAAATGACGACTTTATTTCAACTATTAATTTTCTCGTCGTTTGATAAACTTAAGATTGAGCCACTGTAGTCACTTGGACTATTTTAATGATGTCTTTAATAACTTTTCGAGGCCAGCATGTTTCAGTTCCTCAAGAAGCCTATGGACTAGTAGCAGGAGTGATCCAGCTCTCAGATTTCATCAAAAAATCTTAATTTGTGTTCCGAAGATGAACGAAGGTCTTATGGGGTTGGAACGACATGGGTGCAAAGTGACTTGACAAGAAAGACTGAATCCAATAGCCTATTTAGTGATATAATAGGTTGAGAAATTATAACAAGCAATTTAAAAGGCTTGGCATTTTTTGACCAGAAAAAGAATATCAGTTTTGTTTTGGCATGTGTGGGCAAAATCATGAAGTGGCGATTCTTGTTGTAATTAATCAAACTTTAATTCATGTTATAATCTTTTATTTTTATACAAAGTGAAAGAAATTGCATTTTTAGGTAGGCTATTTTTTATGACATCGTTAGGAATAAGTCATAATATATATATATATATATATGCATATACAAACACGATATGATTTATATAACGATGTATAGAGAGGTTAAAAAGGTTAAATCTCGGCCCGTGTTGTTTCCTGTGGTTACCATGGTGAGATGAGGACCTGATGCATTATTCTGCCTGGCCGCTAGAGGTCGCTGTTCCTCAGTCACCGGGTCCCGCTGTTAAAGCGCCTAATCCCGGGGGGTGTCCGGTCCGGTGAGTCCGTGACACGGACAGGCACTCGCGCTCGGCACTGCTCGGTAACGGGCTCCTGCATTCTTCTCAGCCGTGTTCCCGTGGATCCACTGAGGCTCCCGGTGACTGTGTTGTTGTCGTTACCGACGCGCTTGGAAACGGTCGTGGTCGTTACACCGGGATGAATCATGTCTTCGTTTGTGAGCCGGGTTCAGTTTTTAGACGATACCGATCCGTTCAACAGCACCAACTTCCCGGAACCGACCAGACCTCCTCTCTACACCTTCAGAGAAGATATTCCCCTCATCAACCAGATCGCGGGAGTCCACAGACTCCTCAAAGCTCCTCACAAGGTCAGAACACGCAAAGTTCATTAGTTCACTGAATAGAGTTTAGTAAGCTTTATTTCAACCTCTCTTTACTGCAGGCGCGTCACAGTACCAATATAATATAACGTTTTATATAAATATATGTGTGTGTGCGTGTGTGTAGCTACTGTTGTAAAATGCTGTTTTAATCCATGTTTGGGTCAAAAATGAACAAATCCAACCGTTGGTTTTGATTATTAACCGTTAGTTTAAATGTTTAAATTGCATTTTTAAACCTAACGGTTTTGTCTACATCTGACCCAAACATGACATGAGTTGAAACAACCCAGCATATATATATATATATATATTAAAGTGCCTAATAAACGTATGAAATAATGTTCAGTGTAGTTTCATTAGTTTCCGACTGTAAGGAGGTCATGAATGAGTGTGAGGCGCGACAGGTGCGGCTCTGAGCCGCTTTTAGAGCCGTTCATTCATTCACTGACAGAATGAAATCATATTTTAAAACGGATCTGTTATTGAAGCTTTACACACATTACACAATATAAAATAAAATCTAAAAATACACGTTTTGTTTATTTTTTGTATCATATTTGATGCATCAGGCTCATAGTGCGGCAGTTGCTGATGTTTAAATGAAATTCTGCTGCTTGAAATCAATCAATGAGATTTTTATAATAAATGATGATGATTATAATCAAGTAAACCTGCGTCAGTCCAGCTGAAATATTACTAACAATATCAAAGTTATTCTTGCGTTTCCTTGACACTAACTGACTTTTACTTGATAAAAACTAAAAGATTGAATGAATTTGCATGATCAGTGTTTGCGAAATATTGAAACACATATTCATAATGAGAAAGAACATGCAGGAACAAAAGACAATATGAAACCAGATTAAACAAATAAAAAAGGCACCGAAACTAGCTTAGCATCACACAATGTTATTGTTTGTGAATAATACATATTGGACATTCTGTGTCAGCTGAATCACACTTTTTAATATTTAATTTGGAAATCTGGATTATTACATAGATTTGAATCTCATGTGTTTTTGTATTTAATCTTTATTAGTTTGATATGATGTTTGCCAACTGACATATCCAGTTGGTTTCTCCTCTCTGGTTTCTCCTCTGGTTTCTCTGGTTTCTCCTCTCTGGTTTCTCCTCTCTAGTTTCTCCTCTCTGGTTTCTCCTCTCTAGTTTCTCCTCTCTAGTTTCTCCTCTCTGGTTTCTCCTCTCTGGTTTCTCCTCTCTGGTTTCTCCTCTCTGGTTTCTCCTCTCTGGTTTCTCCTCTGGTTTCTCCTCTCTGGTTTCTCTGGTTTCTCCTCTCTGGTTTCTCCTCTCTAGTTTCTCCTCTCTGGTTTCTCCTCTCTGGTTTCTCCTCTCTAGTTTCTCCTCTCTGGTTTCTCCTCTCTGGTTTCTCCTCTCTGGTTTCTCCTCTCTGGTTTCTCCTCTCTGGTTTCTCCTCTGGTTTCTCCTCTCTGGTTTCTCTGGTTTCTCCTCTCTGGTTTCTCCTCTCTAGTTTCTCCTCTCTGGTTTCTCCTCTCTGGTTTCTCCTCTCTGGTTTCTCCTCTCTGGTTTCTCCTCTGGTTTCTCCTCTCTGGTTTCTCCTCTGGTTTCTCCTCTCTGGTTTCTCTGGTTTCTCCTCTCTGGTTTCTCCTCTCTAGTTTCTCCTCTCTGGTTTCTCCTCTCTGGTTTCTCCTCTCTGGTTTCTCCTCTCTGGTTTCTCCTCTGGTTTCTCCTCTCTGGTTTCTCTGGTTTCTCCTCTCTGGTTTCTCCTCTCTAGTTTCTCCTCTCTAGTTTCTCCTCTCTGGTTTCTCCTAGTTTCTCCTCTCTAGTTTCTCCTCTCTGGTTTCTCCTCTCTAGTTTCTCCTCTCTCGTTTCTCCTCTCTGGTTTCTCCTCTCTGGTTTCTCCTCTCTGGTTTCTCCTCTGGTTTCTCCTCTCTGGTTTCTCCTCTCTGGTTTCTCCTCTCTAGTTTCTCCTCTCTGGTTTCTCCTCTCTGGTTTCTCCTCTCTGGTTTCTCCTCTCTGGTTTCTCCTCTCTAGTTTCTCCTCTCTGGTTTCTCCTCTCTAGTTTCTCCTCTCTGGTTTCTCCTCTGGTTTCTCCTCTCTGGTTTCTCTGGTTTCTCCTCTCTGGTTTCTCCTCTCTAGTTTCTCCTCTCTAGTTTCTCCTCTCTGGTTTCTCCTAGTTTCTCCTCTCTAGTTTCTCCTCTCTGGTTTCTCCTCTCTAGTTTCTCCTCTCTCGTTTCTCCTCTCTGGTTTCTCCTCTCTAGTTTCTCCTCTCTAGTTTCTCCTCTCTCGTTTCTCCTCTCTGGTTTCTCCTCTCTAGTTTCTCCTCTCTCGTTTCTCCTCTCTGGTTTCTCCTCTCTAGTTTCTCCTCTCTCGTTTCTCCTCTCTGGTTTCTCCTCTCTGGTTTCTCCTCTTTGGTTTCTCTGGTTTCTCCTCTCTAGTTTCTCCTCTCTGGTTTCTCCTCTCTGGTTTCTCCTCTCTGGTTTCTCTGGTTTCTCCTCTCTGGTTTCTCCTCTCTGGTTTCTCCTCTGGTTTCTCCTCTGGTTTCTCCTCTCTGGGTTCTCCTCTCTAGTTTCTCCTCTCTGGTTTCTCTGGTTTCTCCTCTCTAGTTTCTCCTCTCTGGTTTCTCTGGTTTCTCTTCTCTGGTTTCTCTGGTTTCTCCTCTCTAGTTTCTCCTCTCTGGTTTCTCCTCTCTAGTTTCTCCTCTCTGGTTTCTCCTCTCTGGTTTCTCCTCTCTGGTTTCTCCTCTCTAGTTTCTCCTCTCTGGTTTCTCTTCTCTGGTTTCTCTGGTTTCTCCTCTCTGGTTTCTCCTCTCTGGTTTCTCCTCTCTAGTTTCTCCTCTCTGGTTTCTCCTCTCTAGTTTCTCCTCTCTGGTTTCTCCTCTGGTTTCTCCTCTCTGGTTTCTCTGGTTTCTCCTCTCTGGTTTCTCCTCTCTAGTTTCTCCTCTCTGGTTTCTCCTAGTTTCTCCTCTCTAGTTTCTCCTCTCTGGTTTCTCCTCTCTAGTTTCTCCTCTCTCGTTTCTCCTCTCTGGTTTCTCCTCTCTAGTTTCTCCTCTCTAGTTTCTCCTCTCTCGTTTCTCCTCTCTGGTTTCTCCTCTCTAGTTTCTCCTCTCTCGTTTCTCCTCTCTGGTTTCTCCTCTCTAGTTTCTCCTCTCTCGTTTCTCCTCTCTGGTTTCTCCTCTCTGGTTTCTCCTCTTTGGTTTCTCTGGTTTCTCCTCTCTAGTTTCTCCTCTCTGGTTTCTCCTCTCTGGTTTCTCCTCTCTGGTTTCTCTGGTTTCTCCTCTCTGGTTTCTCCTCTCTGGTTTCTCCTCTGGTTTCTCCTCTGGTTTCTCCTCTCTGGGTTCTCCTCTCTAGTTTCTCCTCTCTGGTTTCTCTGGTTTCTCCTCTCTAGTTTCTCCTCTCTGGTTTCTCTGGTTTCTCTTCTCTGGTTTCTCTGGTTTCTCCTCTCTAGTTTCTCCTCTCTGGTTTCTCCTCTCTAGTTTCTCCTCTCTGGTTTCTCCTCTCTGGTTTCTCCTCTCTGGTTTCTCCTCTCTGGTTTCTCCTCTGGTTTCTCCTCTCTGGTTTCTCCTCTCTGGTTTCTCCTCTCTAGTTTCTCCTCTCTGGTTTCTCTGGTTTCTCCTCTCTAGTTTCTCCTCTCTGGTTTCTCTGGTTTCTCTTCTCTGGTTTCTCTGGTTTCTCCTCTGGTTTCTCCTCTCTGGGTTCTCCTCTCTAGTTTCTCCTCTCTGGTTTCTCTGGTTTCTCCTCTCTAGTTTCTCCTCTCTGGTTTCTCTGGTTTCTCTTCTCTGGTTTCTCTGGTTTCTCCTCTCTAGTTTCTCCTCTCTGGTTTCTCCTCTCTAGTTTCTCCTCTCTGGTTTCTCCTCTCTAGTTTCTCCTCTCTGGTTTCTCCTATCTGGTTTCTCCTCTCTGGTTTCTCCTCTGGTTTCTCCTCTCTGGTTTCTCCTCTCTAGTTTCTCCTCTCTGGTTTCTCTGGTTTCTCCTCTCTAGTTTCTCCTCTCTGGTTTCTCTGGTTTCTCTTCTCTGGTTTCTCTGGTTTCTCCTCTCTAGTTTCTCCTCTCTGGTTTCTCCTCTCTAGTTTCTCCTCTCTGGTTTCTCCTCTCTGGTTTCTCCTCTCTGGTTTCTCCTCTCTGGTTTCTCCTCTCTGGTTTCTCCTCTCTGGTTTCTCCTCTCTGGTTTCTCCTCTCTGGTTTCTCCTCTCTGGTTTCTCCTCTCTGGTTTCTCCTCTGTTTGCTTGTGACGTTGTGTTTTTCTGTGTCAGTCTGTCATTGGAGGGAAAGTCATGGTCAGTATAATTGGCTGTTTTGGTCAAATCTGTGAAATAAAGTAGAGGTCAGTGCTGCTCCCAGAATGCCATGTCATCTCACTCGCACTCACAAACACACACACACTGATGAAGAGGACGATGATGATGATATATCTGCCTCGTGTGAGGTCTCTCCAAATGTCAGGGATTACTGTAAAACACTCAAAATCTTATTTTCCTCCTATTCAACACTGTATCTCAGTCAATAGTTATTTAGTAAGAGTGTAGCGCTGTAAATATTAAAGGGGATCTATTCTGCTCTTCTCCATCAGTGTTGAGTGTGTGATCATGAGAAAGCTCCTGTTCTCCTCTATATGAGTGTCAGTGTTTCTGAACTCCTGAAACGCCTCCACTGTAGTCTTGAGTTTCCTCTGACAGACTGGGAAGAGAGGAGCCGCAACAATGGAGAATATGAGGAAAATAATCAACATTTATTTAAATTGCTTAGAATGAGCATAAATCTGTTCATTTTGAAAACAATGTCATTTATTCAGTTCAAAAGTATAAACCGCTGTGGAACAAAAAATATTCAATTAGTAAAAAATGTATGAGATTAAAACAAATGGTATTTATTGATGATAAATGTGAGTAAATATGTGCAGCTCGTTCCTGTGATCCGGAGGACAGAGTTCGGCCACAGATCCTCTGCGTGTGTCTCACATTCTCGGGTTATAAATAGACGGGCTGAATCTCATCCACAGTGTAAGTGGTAGTTAGAGAAGTACAGCGACTGTCCGACTGTCCTTCAGTGCGGCGCTCCCCAGCCATCTCCACAGTTTAATATCTCCTCAGAAGATTCAAAAATTAAACCGAAAATACACTTTCATGCACAAGTTAAATTCTCCAGGTAATGTCTCATTTATGTATTTAATATTTGTTTATAACTCAAATTTAAAGCCCTCCTGCAGCGAATAATTTTATCTCTTAAAACTTATCTTTGATCTCCAAAATTATATATTAAATTTTTTCCCATGGAAAAAAAAATTATACAAAATATCTTGGATGCGATGCGTTGGCTGACCTTAACTCAGACCTGAAGTTGCGCTGGAGAGCGAGTGTTTGATTAGGGTTTGGCTGAGGAGACGACCAAACCAGCCTCGCCGAGGTCATGTGATCGATCGCCAGCCAATCATGAACACATTTAATTACTGACCCCAGGCCTGTGAATAACAGTGTAGGGAATAGAGGCGAACGAGGGAATGTTTAGTGTGTCTGTGAACATTATGGTTTAATTTACACACACACCTGTGTTTGACACCAGCAGCTGGTCGACACACTCTTTGGTCACACATACTAACATTTGAACATGTGAAACCTTCAGCATGTGTGTGTGTGTGTGTGTGTGTGTGTGAGTCGATGTCTGCTGCAGGTCGAATCTGCCGAATTAGCCTGACAACCCGCCGTGTGATTGTTGATCAAAGCTACAAATCCATCGACACGCGTTCACACTGGAGTTAAAGTGAAAGCACATGTGTGTGTGTGTGTGTGTGTGTGTGTGTAAGACTTGCGTAATCAGGTTCACTGACTGTCATTAAATTAAACTAAAATTTAGTGCTGGGAAAATGATTAATCGCATCCAAAATAAAAGTTTGTGTTTACATAATATATGTGTGTGTGCTGTGAATAATTATTTTGTATATATATATATATATATACACACACACACACGCATGCATATATTTAAGAAATATTTGCATACTGTATATTTATATATAATTTAAATGATACAGAAATATAAATATTTTATATATAACACATTTTTCTTAAATATATACATGCATGTGTGTGTGTATTTATGTAGTATATACAAAATAATTATACACACACACACACATATATTACTGTATGTGTAAACAAACTTATTTTGGATGTGATAACTCGCGATGCAGCACTACAAAAACTATATGAAAGAATTGTTACTTAAAAAACTTTGACTGAAATATAAAAAGTTTATTTTATTTGAGTTAGTGATGTGAACTGAACAGCTTTAATGAGTCACTGAAACACACACACACTCTAATATAATGTTAGTACATTTTAGTGCTGGTTTTGTTTGTTTAACGGAGACGTTTAAATCAACTCTTTCTTTTTATTATACACACGTGTCGTTAAATGTCTACAGACGTAACACAACTGATCCGGGATCAGGTGCCAAGCCTTGTTTACTGAGGTCATGTGACTTTGGCAGTTTGATACGAGCTTTGATTCACACAGGCTTCGAAGCTTTACAAAGTGTTTTAAAAGCGGCATGAGCTGCCGAAATTAATATTAATACACACTAAACAGACGTATATAAAAACAACGAAGAAAAATTACAAAACATGGCTAAAACTTGAACTGAACTTGAATTGAAAACAGATTTAAAAATAAAAACAAACTGAAAATGTGAATGAAAGCGAGTGACACTGTTGGTAATGTGTGTGTGTGTGTGTGTGTGTGTGCAGCTCGATGACTGCGCTCTACAGCTCTCACACACCGGTGTGTATCTGGATCTGGAGTCGACGCTGGACGAGCAGAGAGATGAACTGGAGGGGTTTCAGCAGGACGACTGCGGAGGGTGAGTGTGTGTGTGTGTGTGTGTGTGTGTGTGAGAGAGAGAGTGTGTGCGTGTGTGTGTGTTATGAGCAGATCTCCTCAATGCAGTGACAGCAGCTCTCACACAAATCACCTTAACAGATTTCCTGAGAGAGAGAGAAAGTGTGTGTGTGTGTGTGTTAGAGACGGAGAGAGACTTGTATGCAGTATTGTAAGTGCACTTAGTGTGATTTATTGTCTCTCTGTGCCTCCACACACACACACACACACGGCACCTGCAGAGACAGCAGTGATATCATGTTGCAGATCATGTGATATGAAAACATGTGTTTTGAAAATATTTGCTGCATTTGATCAGAAATACTGTAAAACTGTTCAATATTATTGTAATGTAAATCATCTGTTCTCTATGTGAATATCCAGTAAAGTTTAATGTATTCCTGAATTTATCATCATTACTCCAGTCTTCAGTGTCACATGATCCTTCAGAAATCACTCTAATATGAGTCTCTTATAATGTCCGTCAGGAAATGACCTCTGATTGGCTAATAATGCATTCATGAATATTAATGAGCTTAAAGTCCTGTGATCCTGGAGTTATTTTCCATACGTCACAGAGTTATATTAGTCTGAATGAGAGTGTGTGTGTGTGTGTGTGTGTGTGATGATGGTCTATATATCAGTGTGTGACGCTACTGTTTCCTCTCCTTCTGTGGAACTGATGAACACACACATGAACTCTGTCACAGTTTATTTAGTTTGAACTGATATTATAGACATCTATAGAAAGTGTCCTGATTCACACACACACATCCTTTATTTACACACACACTTTTATTTGCTGTATTTCAGCTGTTTATCAATTAATATCTCAATATTTCTCTGTTCTCTGATGATTTATGGAGCAGGATCAGCGCTGTCGGGTTTCTGTTCAGGAAACTGTGTGTGTGTGTGTGTGTGTGTGTGTGTGGACGGACGCTTGGGCTTCTGTTTGTTCTGTGTGTGTGTGTTCTGACGTCTGTCTGACAGCTGATTGACATGTGAATATCTCTGCCGTCAAACAGACCTTCTTCTCAGTGTGTGTGTGTGTGTGTGTGTGTGTCACACGTGTTTCTGACATGGTGATGGCGAGCGGTCGAATGTCTCGCTCAGAGATTCATCCCTCCGTCTCCTGTATTTATGATTGTTTGCACTGAGGGGTCAGAGGTCAAAGGTCATCGCCTCAGTCCTGTGGAAGAGAGAAAACACTCGTCATCGTTTATATTCAGTTTATATTCAGGGACTGATAATCACACACACACACACACACACACACACACACACACACGCACGCACGTGTGTTTCACATTTCAGTTGCTGAGTTTGTGTGTGTCTGAGAGAGAGCGAAAGTGTGAGTGAGAGTGAGTGAGTGTATGTGTGTGTGTGTGTGTGTGTGTGTGATAGAGAGAGACACAGAGTGAGTGAGTGAGTGTGTGTGTGTAAGTGAGAGTGTGTGTGTGAGTCTGTGTGTGTGTGTGTGAGTGAGAGTGTGTTTGTGTGTGTGTGTGTGTCATTACTGCCATATATCTGTGTTGTATGTCGATTAGCATCAGTGATCGTGTGTGTGTGCGTGTGTGTGTGTGTGTGTGTGTGTGTGTCATTACTGCTATATCATCTGTGTTGTATGTCGATTATAGGGCTGTCACTTTACGTTCGAAAATCGATTGCACAATCGATCAGACCAACCAACACAAGTATCGAAAACGAAAATAGGGAATCGATTTTAACGGCCTTCTCTCAGAGCGCGTTCAGCTCGTCACGTCACGCCCGCAGCGAACGCGCGTCACACAGCAACACACACACACACACACACACACACATAACAGCAAATTGTACTTCTGCATAATGAAAAATGTGAATTCTGCCGGTGTTCAGAAAGTCTCATGCATACAGATACAGATTCAGGCTACAATCGCCTATGTTGGCAACATTTGTTTGGCATTTAAGTAGTAGGCTAATCGAAATAATAACTAATCGTAAACAGAGCCATGTTGAATCCTAATGTTTCTCATTGATGTTATGGCAGTCCACTCTGCTTATTTTTTTTTTCGAGAATGTTACACTCCTGTTTGTCATTGTGCACGAAGCTTCATCATCATGTCAATAAAACATCAGAAATATATTTAAGTGTGCGCGCCTTAAGCGCCCTCTATAGGCCTACGTTCGCCCTTATGCGGTGTCCGTGGATTTGCCGATATTTGGCTAAAATGGAAACGTGTTTAAACATGGAAAATCGATTTTACAATCGATTCAAGGAACACTTATGTCTCAAAAATCGATCAAGGTTTTTTGACAAAAGTGACAGCCCTAGTCGATTAGCGTCAGTGATCGTGTGTGTGTGTCATTACTGCTATATTATATCTGTGTTGTATGTCGATTAGCGTCAGTGATCATCATCATTGCTTCATGTTCTCTGTCTCCAGTAGGGGGAAGAAACACAGTGTGGTTTTACGGACTCAGCTGAGCGTTCGTGTGCACGCGTGTATCGGTGAGTCTCACACACACACACACACACAACTGAACACCAAGAGCCAGTGAACGCTGGAATAATCACACTAGCGGTCTCACGCTAACGCTGTGAATAATAACCGTTCTTCATGTTTCTGTCACCAAAGCTGCTTATTAGATCAGAAATACAGTAAATGTAAATGTAAATGTAAATCATCTGTTCTCTATGTGAATAACAGTAAAGTGTCATTTATTCCTGTGATCAAAGCTGAATTAAAATTAAAAATAAATGCAGGTTTGGTGAGTTTGGAACATCAGCTGACCCCAGACGGTTAAACGCAGTAAATCAGTCAGTGCTGTTGTGTGAGAGAGAGAGAGAGAGAGAGAGAGAGAGAGAGAGAGAGAGAGAGAGAGAGAGAGAGAGGAGAGAGAGGAGAGAGAGGAGAGAGAGAGAGAGAGAGAAAGAGAGAGAGGGGGGTTTAGTGAATTCATGTCTTCCTTCAGTTTTAGTCTGAGAGCTGGACACACACACACACACACACCCCTGTTAAAGCCTCTGGTTTGAGTTGCTGAACTCATCATAGGCCGTCTGTGTGTGTCCGTCTGTTGCTGATAGTGTGTGTATTTTTGGGTTTATGGGTCAAGCGTCCCATTGGCTGATGTCGTTAGATATCAGGGGTGGGGCTTTCATCAGGCTCATTAAAATTCACACTTGACTTCCCAGCATGCCTTTGTGTGTAGTCGGCAATTCCTGTGTCAGCGCAGAGAGACATTTGGTAGCTTGATGATGGTGTGTGTGTGTGTGTGTGTGTAAGGCTTTAAGTGGACAGATGATGAGAGTTAAGTCTCCTACCACCTGCTTCCCCTCGAATCCCCACAAACCCTTGTGTTTACTGTGTTGTGTGGTTAAATCACTGGAACACAGTGTGTGTATTGCTTGATTCTGTGCACATGCAGTATAACAGGACTCTGTTTTTATTATATTCAAATTCTGTTTTTTTTTATTTTTTTTTTTGGATAAATATGTCTAATCAATTGAATTAATAAAACTTTAACAGCTTTAAGTATTTTAAGTGTGTCTGTGGACTGTTTAGTAGTGTTTTGTTGTTCAGGAAGGATCTGTTTTATTCCTCTCAGCTGCACTCATTTCATAGTCAGGAATGTCTTAATCCTCGCCGGACCCAGTGAGATCTGTGTGTGTGTGTGTGGAGTAATCTCAGAGTAAAACTGGGATGTACTGCGAAACGCAGATTTTGAGGCTGTGATCGCCATGGCAACGGCCTTGATGACATGTGGGACGGTAACTTACACCATACTGTATAATCCGGATTGCATTGATGCCTTTGTATTCTGAGTTATAGAATCACAGATTGTTTTGACTATTTACGGACATCCGAGAACTATGGAAATGAGTAACACTTTACAATGAGATCCCTCTAGTCTCTGATTGGTCAGGGTTGGACGTTGATCACAGATGCTAGATGATGATTGGGTGCAGAAATGCTGCATTCTGATTGGCCGTGAGTGCATTTAAAAATAAACATCACAGCATTATGATGACGCAGAGTTTTGAGAGATATGTGTAGCGATACGTCTCTAATCTGAGTTTCTTTACGTTGATGATGCCGTCATTGTTCATCCAATTAGAATTTGTTTTCTAATATCAGTGTTTGAGTCTCTAGTTTAGATTTTTATGAATCTGTTTTAACACCGATTCAGATCTTGATTTGAGGCCATCAATTCAATATTCAAACAAACTCCAGCTTTTATTTAAATTGCCATTCATCACGTGATCATTGCATATATTTACTATTTTTGTTGAATTTCTAGGCAAAGTAACTATATTGTGATGTATATGTCAGAGTCTCTGGAGTTCAGGGCTGTCATGAAGTCATGTGGGTCTGTAAAGCGATATAACTGGAGGAGCGCTGGGTAATTTTAGCAGCTGGTTGATGTGTTGGATGCCATGAGCCCAGAGAAACACCAGTGTCACTGCGATATCTTTAGAAAGCGTTGACGAGACAGAAACATGTGAACGAGAGACTGCCGGTCGAGAAAAGGTGAAGTTCAATTACCCAGATTACACAAGACTGATTCAGGGATTCACAAACAAAATAGAGTCCGAAAACAACAACATTAAACACACACACGGGGCACTTGTGGCCTGATGGTTAGACAGTCTGACTGGTAACCCAAAGGTTGCTGGTTAAATTCTAGTATCAGCGGCAAGAAGTACTAATATATTTTGTATTTTTATATTTATCTTTATTTGAATGAAACCATTTTGTTCTTGTTGAAGAGCTGATTGTGTGTTTGTGTTGATCAGTTTATGACCCTCAGCATCAGGTTGTCATGGTTACGGGACACTCACAGTGGCGTCACGTCCTGAAGTTTACTTACTAAATGGAAGTGACACATCCACAGGAACCACCTGATCATTAGCATACAGTGTGTGTGTGTGTGTGTGTGTTCTCAGTTAGATGCAGCTGCCGTTCACTGGGCTTTGTGGGATATGATGACATCACTGGGCAGCACATGCTTCAAGGTGTGAAGTCTGGGAACTTTAGTGGTTGACAGAAGAACAGAGGACAATGTGTGTGCGTTGAGCTGTGTTATCTATCTGGTGTTATTTTTACCGCTCCAGAGGCATGTGACGCCACATCATCAGCACATAAAGTTCTAATATTAACCTTATAAAGACCGTTTCTAAGGCCTGTAAATGCTGCAGTCTTTGCTGTCGCACTCAACCTCTCAGTCCTTCTGTCTCTGACTGATAGTTCAAACTCTTTTATCTAGTAAAAGTCTTTTTAGTAAAATTGTACAAATGTCCTTAAAATGCCTAGCAACACCTTAGCAACCACCCACATCACTCTAACATTGTGCCGGTGTGTTTGCATAACCACGGATATGTCTAAATCACACATTTACAGCCCAAAGTGGGCAGAGCCGGCCGTCGCCATCTTGGGAGTGTCACTCGTGCATAAACGGAAATGTGCTGCAGGGTATTTCTGAGGTATGCTGGGACCAGCCACCAGGGGGCGATCAAGACTCTGGGTTTATTTGCTTTACTGGGCCCAGCCACCGGGGGGCGATCAAGACTCTGGGTTTATGTGCTATACTGGGACCGGCCACTGGGGGGAGATTGAGACTCTGGGTTTATGTGCTATACTGGGACCGGCCACCAGGGAGTGATCGAGACGCTGGGTGTTTGAGCTATACTGGGACTGGCCACTGGGGGGCGATCGAGACTCTGGGTATATGAGCTATACTGGGACCGGCCACTGGGGGGCGATCGAGACTCTGGGTTTACGAGCTATCCTGGGACCAGCCACCAGGGGGTGATCGAGACGCTGGGTATTTGAGCTATACTGGGACTGGCCACTGGGGGGCGATCGAGACTCTGGGTATATGAGCTATACTGGGACTGGCCACTGGGGGGCGATCGAGACTCTGGGTATATGAGCTATACTGGGACCGGCCACTGGGGGGCGATCGAGACTCTGGGTTTACGAGCTATCCTGGGACCAGCCACCAGGGGGTGATCGAGACGCTGGGTATTTGAGCTATACTGGAACCGGCCACTGGGGGGCGATCGAGACTCTGGGTATATGAGCTATACTGGGACTGGCCACTGGGGGGCGATCGAGACTCTGGGTATATGAGCTATACTGGGACTGGCCACTGGGGGGCGATCGAGACTCTGGGTTTACGAGCTATCCTGGGACCAGCCACCAGGGGGTGATCGAGACGCTGGGTATATGAGCTATACTGGAACCGGCCACTGGGGGGCGATCGAGACTCTGGGTATATGAGCTATACTGGGACTGGCCACTGGGGGGTGATCGAGACTCTGGGTATATGAGCTATACTGGAACCGGCCACTGGGGGGCGATCGAGACTCTGGGTTTACAAGCTATACTGGGTCACAGTGATGTCACAGGTCACGTAGAGTGTGTCATGGTGTTCATCAGCGTCTGCATCGGTTTCAGACACACGAGCTGCAGATATAAATACTCCCTCGACCGAGGGTCAGATATCAGTGTGATCAAACCAACACTGCAGATTCACTTGCTCACAAGTGAACATTTATTCATAATGTTTATAATGCACACTATGATTATAATACCAGCAGCAAGTTTAGCCTGTAACGCATGTAATGAGTTTTGCTTGTGTTATATGATGACGCAGTGCTTTTGGCTCTGTTGAGTTTGATCCGGTTTGTGTTTGTCTCATCTGTAACCCACATCAGCTCAAACGGCTCTTTTAAAGTGGATTTATGCTTGTTTTTCTAAAAGCTGGCTTTGGACACTCTGCAGAAACTCGTGTAACATCTCATTCCCAGACACATTACCCCGACCACAGACCTACAGCTGCTGTCAGACGCCGACGCCACGCGTGCTGGATCACATTCAGATGCTTATTTTGGGTGTTTCTGGCTGAACTTATTATTTCCCGGTTTCGCTTTTGGCCCTTTGAGTTCATAAATGCATTTCACCATCTGTTTTCTTCATGCGCTGCACTTCATTTCCTCATCTTTCTTTAGAGTTTGTGTTGCCTTACTTCCAAATCAGGAGGTCAGGAGGAAGATTTTACCTCCTGCTCTTTACATTTGTTTAAAAGCAGTGTGTTTATTTACCTGCACAAACATGCCCCGGAGAATCTAGAGGGTGGTGGGTGGTTGTTAGGGTGTTGCTATGTAGCTGTTACAGATTTTAGAATGTTTATACTGCATTGCTATTTGGTTAGGATGTGGGGTGGTTTCTAGGGTGTTGCTATGTGGGTGTTAAAGACTTCAGAGTGTTTTTCCTGCATAGCAATTTGGTTAGAGTGTTTTGGGTGGTTGCTAGGGGGTTGCTATGTAGTTTTTAGGGTTTTCAGAGTGGTTTTTACTGCATTTCTATTTAGTTCACGAGTTTACATGTTAATGAAATCTGGTGTAATATTATAATGCGTATTTGGCTTGCTGTCCGGGGGGAGGGCTCTGAGCTCAGAATTCGGCCCGACCCCAGAGTACTCCCCCTGACCTTAGAGATCATGGGT